TTTACGTATTTATCTTTTTTTATTTTTTAATAAACAATTGGATTAAGAAGCTATTGTTATTTGCATTTATTAATTTGTTTTTGTGAGTTTACTAAATGATTACCTATTCGACTCCCCTCAGATGGATGGCACCTGTGAGGACCATTGCCAGCGATTAGAAAATATGCTGCGAAAGAGCGCCCAGCAATTGGAGGACAAGGACAAACGTTGCCTGCAACAGTTGCTGCTGTGCGTGCAACAGCTCGATCTGGATGCGATGGCCGAACAGGATAGCTGGCAGTCAACGGTATGTATATATCCTAACAGAGTGTGTCACCTTAACCAGAAGAAGATACAGCATCCAAGGGATGCATGTTATGAGCTTCAAAGACCTAGAAGTCCTCAACCCAACAAAGATTCTAGCATTTGTGCAAGAGCTGGGGTTGATGGCGGAGCTATGGGCTCAGAAGGGGCCACAATAGATATAATAGGTTGCAGTGCAGGTGCCCCAATTATAATAATAAAAAAACTTTAAAAAAAAGCTGCACTTTTCGAGTTTTTAAGACATTCGGTAAAGAGTTCACCAGTTAAAGACAAATTTAAAAAAAAAATCATTTGTTTTCATTAATTCCTAGAAAGAATAGATCATTTTGGAATATATTTTTATATTTTTATGAGTATGGAAATTTAGTTGACTGTTCAAACAAAATATTACGTTATGCAAAAGAGAAGCAGAAAGACAGTTTTATCCAATTTACTAGAGATATTATTGATTTGTCTAGGAAGTGTTTAAGTCTATCATGGAGCAAAATAAAAAAAAAATACCAGCAAGTGTAGAAATCTGTAGACCTGCAGGAAGACCGAAATATAGTTGAAAATTTTGAGCTAATTTTTGTAAAAACGCATTTAAATAGAAGCAAAGAGAAATTGATAAATATTTATTGAACAGACGAAAGTAAGTAGTTTTTTTGTAAGGTAACTACTGATTGCAATGTTTTAGCATTTTTGGTGTTTTCTATAATGGAGTCGGATTAAAGACTCAATTTATGACATCCTCATTCATTATACTACATTTCAATTGAAGTTTTCAAAATTATTTTGTGTTTTGCGTAGTTGTTTAGTTTCAGTGCCATTTTCCTGAACGCCAATTTATGCATATTTATTTTTGAAAAGGCAGCGAATCAAGAATAACTTTTTTGTCGCTTCATTTTAATACTCAAAAACTGATTAAACTTACTTATAAGAAAGAAAAACTCAACCAAATACTGATTTGTATTGTGGTACAATTTATTCTTCCGCAGCTAGATATGTATATAAATAATGCTAATATCAAAATTAAATATTTGTTGGGCAGAGTTTGAAAGATTTTTACATCAACAAGTTTACATTTAAAGTGCAAGATATAGAAAAACTATCATTTTTGTATAGCAAACACAAAACACGAAATTCAAGTGTCCCTCGAACTTTGTTAATTTTGTGGCAACTTGCAATTTGCAGACGAGAGCGGAGCCACGGGCGAGACACAGCCGGATTGTAGCCACGGTGCAGCCGTATAGCAACAGTGCCACGCCCAGTGCACCAACAACGCCCAGCAAGCGACCAGGCAGCGGCAGCTACAACAACAACTCCTGGCTCAACTGCAGCCTGAGCGAGAGCGGCGTCTTTGTCGAGTGCGACACATCGGAAGCGGAAACGGGAACGGGCACGCCCCATCCCCATCTGCAGTACTATCAGGAGCGACTGATTCTACTGGAGGGCAAGCTGCTTGTCTACGAGAGCAGCGGCGAGACGCAAGCGAAGCATTTGGCGGAGCGATTGCAGCGGGAACTGCAGCTGAACAAGCAGGTCAAGGAGCTGATCGAACGTGTCGAGCAGCTGGTGGAGCAGAACGCCCAGCTGGACGAGGCCAAGTGTGAGTTCGAGGAGGCCGAGAACGATACCCGCTTCCATCTGCAGCGCAACGAGGAGGAGTTGGAGATATTGCGGCAGCGCAACGTTGAGCTCGAGTTCAGCAAGGACGCACTGGGCGCCAAGTATCGCGATTGTCGGGCCGAGTGCCTGATATTGCGCGAGGATCTGAGCGCTGCCGAGACGCAGCTGGAGCATCTGCGCACGGAGCGACAACTGGCCAAGCAGCAGCTGGAAAGCCTGCGACAATCGCTGCCCCTGCTCCTAATCTGCCGTCTGTTGGCCTTGGCCAGAGTTAGCGCAACAACAAGTATGGGCAATGAGCAGTCGACGCCACGCAACCCAGCCGGCGGCTGTTTGCCGGCTGTGTGCAAACCCTGCCCGGCACTCTGCAAGCCAAGGAACAACAATTGTGCCACACGGGATCCGAGTGCGATGCGTGAGATTAACTATTTGAAGGAAGAGGTCAAGACTTTGCGTGGCTCGCTCAAGGAGCTCAATTCGCGGCATTACGAGGCGATGGAAACGGCCGACTCACACTGGGTGGATCTGGAGCGGGAGTACAAGCAGCGCGAGGAGGCGTGTCGCACCAAAGAGGTATGCCTCAAGCAGAAGATCAGCAAGCTGCAGGATTGTCTGCGGGATGATTCGCGTGCCGCCGCCGAGAAGATTCAGCAGCTGGAGGAGACTGAGCAGGGCCTGAAGACGTGCCTGGTGCGCCTAACCAAAGAACATCGCGATCTAATGGATCAGAACCGTGCACTGGAGAAGGAGGTGGAGACCCGTGCAGCGTCGGAGCGTTTGGCCACCGAGCAACTGCAGCCGCTAGCCGAGGAGCTGGAGAATGAGAAGCGACGCAGCCAAACACTGATTGATGATCTCAGCTTTGCCAAGAAATTGCAGCAGAGCATGGAGGAGCAGCTCAAGGCGGAAACGGATAGTCTGCGTCAGCAGATCTATGACCTGAAGAAGGTACTCCTGCACACTGAGGTCACCAACGGTGAACTAAAAGAGGAGGTGGGCACTTTGGAGGCCAAGATCGCCGAAATGGAACAACAGCTGCGGGCGTGCGAAGAGCGTGCCTCTTGCCTGGAAGACGAGCTGCGCACCAAAGATGAACAGTGCCAGCGGCTCGAGCGAAAACTGGGCGTCTGCCCTGAAGGCTTTAGCCTGGCCGACGAGCTCTTTGACACGCCCGAGAAGCGTGCCAAGCGGGATGAGATCCAGAATCTGCAAGCGGCCAGTCAAGGCCTGGGCTGTGCCTTAAGGGATATAGAGGTGGGTTATCGCAACTATACTTTATATACATGCTGTACTCATGTCAAGCTTTGTTTCTCACTTGCAGCGACGCGAACGTGAGCTACCCACGCACAAGGACTTCCAGACCATTGCCTGTAGTGTCAAACAGCTGGCGGATACCATACTCTCCGCCCAGAACCCAACGGTGAGTGAATGTGAATGCGAGGCCGCCAAGAAGCGACCATTAACTATAAGCAAGAACAGTGAAGAACAGGAGAGTGGTGCTGAGGAAAGAGGTGCTAAAGAAGAGGGCTCTAAAGAAGAGGGTGCTACAGAAGAGGGTGCTAAGGAAGCGAACAGTCCCAAGGCAGCGGGTAGTCCTAAGGGAGCGAGCAGTCCAAAGGTTGCGGGTACTCCAAGGGAAGCGGGCAGTCCTAAAGCAGCGGGCAGTCCTAAGGGAGCGGGTAGTCCTAAAGAAGTGGGCAGTCCTAAGGCTGCGAGTACTCCAAAGGAAGCGGGCAGTCCTAAGGCAGCGGGCAGTCCTAAGGGAGCTGCTAGTCCTAAGGGAGCGAACAGTCCAAAAGCAGCGGGCAGTCCTAAGGCAGCTGGCAGTCCTAAAGAGCCAGGCACCCCTAAGGCAACGGGCAGTCCTAAGGAAGTGGGAACTCCCCAGGAAGAGGAGCCCGATGTAGCAAATCCCAGCGGCAGCGCCAGGACGTCTGGAGGCGGTCTTATAAGTCGAGAGCCCGTAACAATGGTCGATAGCATTGTTCTGAGCCTGTTGGGCAAACAGCTTAAGCAGCAGATCTGTGGAATGCCCACGAAGCTGCGCCGCTTGGTCTGTGGCCAGGAGGTGCAACCAATTTTGGTGGTGCAGCAGCAGAAGCCAAAGCTGGTGAAGCAGCCCAAGGAGAAGACACCAGAAGACGAGCTGCGTCGCAAGCGTCGCTGGTGCAAGAGCTTTGTCTATCGGCGCCTCTATCGCAGTCGGGTGCGACGCTGTGGGGCAAGCAATCGCCTCCGACTTCGATTCCGTCTCCGTTTCCGTTCCGACAACAAGGTGAGAGTTCCAAGCCAATCTCAGACCAGTTTCCAAACGGTTGGCTCCATGCACACCGCGCACACTGACCGATCGCTTAGCACTTGCCGTTCGCATCAGGTGCAGATCGTTGATCAGCGTTGGGAGCAGCCGCAGCTGAATGTCGCGGCGCAAACGGAGCCGGTTCGTTCGCAGTGCCGGCTGGTTCAGGTCTCTCCACAGGTGTGCGATTCCCAGTTGCAGACGCAGTGCTGCACACAGGAGTGCGGCACTCAGGCCGAGAATGTGGGCGTAGAGGTGCGCCTACTCCTGTTACCGGTGCGAACCCGTGCCTTCCTCGAACTCTTGCAGCAGTGCATCACCAAAGAGGACAGCAACAAGAAAAAAAGCAGCAGCAGCAGCTGGGGCGTGGATGTGTTTCGGGCACGAGTGCTGCAGCTGTGGGAGGGCAGCGAGGAGTTCCGGGCGCACATTGAACTGTTGCAAGATGTGTGCACAGACCAGGAGCAGCGTCCCTGCGATAGCTACGATATATTCGTTGCCGTCCTGGGCTGTGTGCGCGCCTTGAAGTTCGCCCTCAAGCCGAGCCACTCACCGTTGCTGCTGCAGCTGGAGGATCGCATCAATGAGCGTCTGATTAGCTTTCACAATCAGAAGGTTGAATCCGAATTTTATTGCACCATCTATTATCCGGTGGAGCGTCGGAGTCCCCTCAAGTTTTACCAGGACTCAACGTGAAACCAACCAAACCAAATTTGACTCAGCTGGCGAGGCGAATTCAGTTTTCATAATTTGTTAGTTTTCTTTTTTTGAGGCTTAGTTTTGGGTTACATTTCAATTTCGTAGCAGAGCATTTCAAAATTGTGTGTGTGTATTTGAATAGAACTAAAACAAATAAAATGGAAAAGGAACCCGAGGAGCGCTTCTTTGACTGCTGCTGTGGCAGTGAAAGTGAAGCTGAAAGTGATCTCGAATCTATTGTCCGGACCAATGACTACAACTGCTCCCTGCTCAGCTGTCCCACGAATGTCTTCGAAATGCGCAGAGCATTGGAGCGTGCGGCCAACACGGCTCAGATTCTGCTCCGAGGTCTGGGTGTGCATGGCGATAAAGATGGGGCTGCTGCTGGGAATACGGCTTGCAGCTGCATGCGCTTCTATCCGGCCACATTGGAGATATCCGCACGTCTACATACGGATACATCTTGCGGCTGTCCGCCGCACTGCCAGTGTGTGATGCGTGGCGATCCGGTGACACTTAAACTGCCCATGGAATTGAATCCGGCCAACGGTCATGTCAACGTCAACATATTTCAGCCAAAGCCAACAAAGCCAACAAAGCCACTCGGTGGCGGCGCTGGCGACAGGCCAATCTCCTCCTCCCTAAGTGCTCCCAGCACGCTCAGTCGGCATTCACAGCGCCATGGGGGCGACAGGAAAGGTGGTAGACGAGTGCGTTGGCCGGATGCCATATAGATGTCGATGTCGATGTGGATGGGGATGTGGATGTGGAGATCTCTGCAGATTATGCAAGTGGAGTTTTTGTCATGGATTTCGTTTGCTCATAAAAGTTGGTCGTGTATCTGATTGTGGAGAGTCTACAATCCGAAATTAGTGCTTAAAACCGGAATCTCCAGCGATTATCCTCAAAAGAAATGTATTTCTGTGGATAATCCGGAATCTCTTGTGATATTTCTGTGGAGAGTCTACCAGCCGTAATCTCCTGCGATTAAATTCAAGTGAGGAGTTGCTTAAGTTTAATATAAAACATTTCTATGGAGAGTCTACCAGCCGCAATATCCGGCGATTATCCTCAAATGAGAAACTGCTTAGGCCTCATCTAAAATATTTCTGTGGAGAGTCCGGAATCTCTTGTGATAGTCTTGTGGAGTGTCTACAAGCTGCAATCCCCTGCGATTATCCTCAAATGAGGAGCTGTCAAAGTTGAAACTAAATTATTGTATTATCGATGTGCAAAAAATTCAAGTCCAAACCCAACACATATCGTTGTAAATTGAATAAAACTTGATCTACTAGAATTTTTGCCACATTAGCAAGAGATGCTTGCTTCTTCTTATTGCCTGCTGCAACACAGATTTTCAGAAATGAATTTCACAACAATTTGATGAGTAGGCAGCGCTTTTGTTGCTGCTTCATCTGACAAATGGGTTCGAGATGAGCAGTTCATTTAAATTCTTTCTGTAGGCAACATCACTCCCAAAATAAATTTCATGTAAATTTTTGTATTTGTTGGAATACATTCGAACATAGTCCATATAGCCATAATGGACAGGAACACGAATACAAACACAAACGACAAAAGGAGCAATGCAGCCTGCTCACCGGGTCGCTGCACCAGACCGGATAAGTGCATTCATTTGCGGAGCCTGCGGCAGCAGAGGATTAATCAGGCATCATGCAATCGAGATGCGGAGACGCTCTATCGCATGCCGAACTTCAAGGCGAATGGCAGCGATGAGGACGTGTTCCACGACTGTCTCAGCATCAGCGATTCGGACCGTCCCAGGGAGGGGCAGAGTTTCAAGGACTTCGCCAGCTGTCAGTCGAATCTGAGCCACAAACGCAAGTTGCCTAGCCACCAACACAGCAGCAACGATTACTCCGCCCGCTGCAAGGCATCGATGAGTGGCAATTTCGATGATCCGGAGGCGGTGCGTGCCGCACTCAAGCGTGCCGAGAATGTCACCCAAATGCTGCTCCAGAGCTTTGAGAAGTCGCACAAGGCGGGCGATGATAAGCATCCGTGCACTGCGACACTGGAGATAACCGCACGGCTAATACCCGACCCAAAGTCCGCTAGATCGAAATGTCATTCACAGGGCAGGCCGGTAACGGTGCAAATGCCACTCCAGTTTGATCCGAATACTTGCCAAATGATCACGTGTCAGCCGATTGATGAGCCAAAGGCCACAGGTAGGGATTGCAACCATTCTCATCATCGTCATCATCACAATCAGCATAGCCACCACAAGAAAGAGGTTGAAAATGACAAATTTTTCGGCACTTGTTACACACCAACTGAATGCATCTGTAAGCCTGATCTCTGTCCTAATTCTCGCAGAAAGCCTGAGCCAAAACCGGTGTTAGTGCTGGTGCCAGAGCTGGTGTCAGAGCCAGTGCCGGTGCCAGAGCCGGTGCCAGAGCCGGTGCCAGAGCCAGAGCTAGGGCCAGTACCAATACCTGTGCCCCTTTCGGAACCTAAAGAAATAGAGCCAGTGGAATTAGAGCAAAGAAGAGAATCGAAGGAGGAGCCAGAGTCAGATTTTGATTCAGACACAGAGGAATTGGAGAACATTGTCTCGCTGGCAGTAGCCGAGCCGGATGTGAAACAAGTGTATGATGAGGAGGCACCAGCACCCACAGAGCCAGTAAAAAAGTATTATCTTGCGTATCCGCAACACAAGGATTTCCAGAATTGCTCACCCTGCCGGTTCGAGCCCAGTCCAATCATGGATGAGGAGGGCAATGTGTTCTGTCCGGGCAGTTGTGGATGCTGTCAGTGTCCATGGAAGCGTCGCTCCTTCGATGAGAATCGAGAGCGCATCGATGTGAAGGTTTGCCGCTGTGTCCAGCGCGGCACCATCTTTACAAATTTTGAAAAGCGCGAGACATGCAGTCAGACATCCTATTTCGATTTCTGTCCATGCCGGGAGAAGGCCGAGGCCAAGTTCCTTGAGCTGCACCGCTGCGAGATGTGGTCAGCGCCAAATAAAATACGCGGTCGTCAGATACAGCTCTCCGAGATCAGGGAGCTTAAGACGCTGCCACAACCATATAAAGATACACATAAGTGATCGACAATCTTTGCTAGTTCTTGCTTTCCTGTCCAAATGGCTGTCTTATGAGATTAATGTTCTTAATATATACATAAAAATAGGAATAAACTATTACCATCTATCCAACTAACAACTAACGGTCTCTTCTTGTTGCCGCTCCTCTCATTGCAGATTACCCAGCTCTAATGCATATGCAGGACGAGCGACAACCTAGAGAAGAGAACGGCCCATCATCCGTCTCCAAAAAGATGCAAACCGACAAATCCTATTTGAATGAAACGTATAAGAGCGAAAACATGAACGGCTCCGATCACATATCGCAAACGGACCAACCGTATCCGGAGAGGAGAGAAGCAGACAGCAGCGGGGATAGGGATACCATCGATCCGACTCAATTCTCGCAGACAAACACATCCTATTTATACGATATTCGCTCGCGTCCTTCTAACTTTGTGGCGGACCAAACATCGCAGACAAACCTCAAAGTGGATATCTATAAACTGGGGAAATTTCGTTATCCCACACAATATATGCGACAGCTGGTGGACAAAAATGAAGATGAGTCGCTAAACAATAATGCGGACTATTTTTGTTCAGACCACTGCGGCACCTTATCTCAATCCAAATCTCAGCCAAGTCTTCCATCAAAAACACTCATCCAGCACTCGGTCAGCATGAATACGGCTCCAGATTGCAAAACATCGGTGCCAATCATTCCGATGCTCTCCGAGGCTCAGCGTAATCCCATATGTAATGTGGACAATGCCACCGCCTTCTACAGCATTAAATCCGAAATAGATCCCAATGCAACAAGTGACAAGTTCTGCTCAATGCCCAGTAACTATACCGCAGACACATCCTCTGTCCGTCCAGTTGTGGAGCAGTCTTCCAGGGATAACGCCACAAATTTGTACAGTTTGGAATCTGACATCATTCCCTCTGTACAGGCTTTCAGGGATGCTGACGACGCCACGAATGTTTACAGCATTGAATCTGACAACGCACCTATGGCCAAGGCCTCTGCCTCCACTGCACAACAAATCAGGGATGCAGATGACGCCACAAATGTTTACAGTTCGGAATCTCACAAGGCTCCATTTGGTGGCTGTCCAGATAATATGACTAGGGATGCTACTGCACAACCTTCCAGCGTTCCCAATGCAGCGAGTGATGCCGAAGCGAAACAGACATATCAGAATCCTTGCGGTCTGCCGAGTGGCACTCGCTATTTTCCCTTTGGCACGGATGAAAACTCCACACCTTATTTCAGCTGGAAATCTGCCAAATGCGTCAAATGCCAATCGGTTGGTCCTTGCCCATTCTCGGCTCAAAGTGCCTATGATTGTGAAAGAGGCAATGATAATGTCACAACCTATGACAGCATAAGATCTGGCACAAGTCGTCCCAATTTACAATGCCATTCGGCTCATCCGCCGGCTGTGATTCGAAGCGAGGGAACAGGCTCTAAGTGCACCAGTTGCGGTGCAGAGAACAGCTTTTATCAAGACCCAGCTCGAAGTGAGGGAACACGCTCCAAGTGCACCAGTTGCGGTGCAGAGAACAGCTTTTATCAAGACCCAGCTCGAAGTGAGGGAACAGGCTCTAAGTGCACCAGGTGCGGTGCAGAGAACAGTTTTTATCAAGACCCAGCTCGAAGTGAGGGAACAGGCTCTAAGTGCACCAGTTGCGGTGCAGAGAACAGCCTTTATCAAGACCCAGCTCGAAGTGAGGGAACAGGCTCCAAGTGCACCAGGTGCGGTGCAGAGAACAGCTTTTATCAAGACCCAGCTCGAAGTGAGGGAGCACGCTCCAAGTGCACCAGTTGCGGTGCAGAGAACAGCTTTTATCAAGACCCAGCTCGAAGTGAGGGAACAGGCTCCAAGTGCACCAGGTGCGGTGCAGAGAACAGCTTTTATCAAGACCCAGCTCGAAGTGAGGGAGCACGCTCCAAGTGCACCAGTTGCGGTGCAGAGAACAGCCTTTATCTCGACCCAGTTGTCACTTCGTTGCGCAAGATTGTGTTTTGCCCGTCGGAGCACTGCAATAATTCGCAGATCAAACAATTGGCTGATGTGGGAAATGTGTATTTTGATGCGGACAAGAGTACTATACTGACATCGATTAAGAGTCGTGGCATCGATCCCTATGACTGTGACGAGACCAAGCTTGGCGCGCAACCCAGTGAGTGCGATGGTGCGATTGTGCCCTTCCAGAAATCATCGTTGGGCAACGTGGACAAAACTTCATCGCGCTCGCAATCGGTGATGGCCAAGGTGACGTGCCTGTGCTCCTCCGAAGTGAAGCTTAAGCTGGGCATGCTGGCACCTGAAGCCGCCGCTGGTCCGCCCTTTGTCCGAATGGAGGAGAGTTGTGCTCAGGACGTTGACATCGAGCCAGCCGATCCCTTGTTGATATCCAGAACGCTGCCGTCATCCGATAGCTGCACCAAAGTGGTGTATATGAATCGCCGTGACAATTTCCGCGATTGCCAATCCACATCCGACACATCCCTTAACTGGCAAGCGAAACCACAATCTACATATCACGATGTCGAAGCGGGAGATTGTCGCTGCTACACAGCCTCGACCAGCAGGCAGATGAGCCAGCAGAAGCCACAATCACGCACCATTAGCTACAAGTCTGTGGAAAAATACGGCGTCAATCAGTTGTCGAAGCCGGACTTTAAATCGACTCAATCGTGTGTCGCTGTGCCGGACTTTCAATCCGTTAAATCGTGTGATGGCGTGCCGGACTTTATATCAGCGAAATCATGTGTCGGCGTGCCGGACTTTAAATCGACGCAATCGTGTGCCGCTGTGCCGGACTTTGAATCCGTTAAATCGTTTGCCAGTGTGCCGGACTCTAAATCCGTCAAATCATGTGCGGGTGTGCGGGATTTTAAATCGACGCAATCATACGCCGGGGTGCTGGACTTTAAATCGACGCAATCATACGCCGGAGTGCCGGACTCTAAATCCGTAAAGTCGTATGTCGGAGTGCGGGACTTTAAATCGGCTCAATTATGCGTGGGTGTATCGGACTTTAAATCCGTAAGGTCGTGCGCAGGTGTGCCGGACTTTAAGTCCGTTAAATCGTGTGCCACTTATACCACCTGTGCCAGCGTCTCCAAATATGGCGGCGACGCGTCCATGCCGCAATTGAGCCTCGAAGCCGAATCTGTTGGCGTCGTCATGAATAGCACTGATCACACCTGCCGCGTTGATGACGCCAAGGAGGACCAGGAAAGGTTTTACGAGTGCTCATCAGAAAAACCGTTGACCGCCTATCAGAGTTGCTCAACGGAATGCAGCAATTTTGCCCCAGCCATGCAGCGCATTGTGAGCATCTTGCATATATTGAGCGATGGCAAGGATAAAAGTGCCGATCGCATTGTCTTCATACAGCAATTGTTTCGCGAACTCACCATGCTGCTGCGTCTGGAGGAGGAGGCGAATGGCGATGGCGATAATAATACAGATGATTCACCGCCACTTACCTATGAGGATTGCTTGGAGGCGGTGGCGGCGGGCAAGAAGCCAACGGCAGCGGCAGCACAGCCCAAGACCAAAGAGCAGAAGGAGCGTATCGAGTGCTTGGATCAAATGGAAAAGTATTTGGATAAGTGTTTCCCATTGAAAAAAAAGGGTGTCCCGCAAACATCGGAAATTGCCGCCTTTGAGCCTGATCCTGATTTTGATCCTAAGCGCAAGCTGGGCTCGGGGGATGTCGATTTGCCGGAAACAAAAGATGATTTCTTCGATGTGCCGAGCTCATCCGAATGCCAGACGACAACGTCGACATATGGGGATGCTAAATCGACCACTGATAAATCTCTCGATTCCGAGTACGCTACTCCTAAGTCACGTGACTCAAAGTCACTGGATTCCGAATACGTGACTGTTAAATCAGGTGACTCCAAATTAACCGATTACAAAACTCCGGCTGGCATATCAGTTGACTCAACATCAGTCGACCGCAAATCAGGTTACTCCAGATTAAACGATTCCGAAGCGCCGGCAGCTGAATCACTGCACTCAAAATTACCCGATGCCAAATCACGTGACTCAAAAATTACCGATGCCGAATCAACGGGTACCAAATCACTGGACTCAAAATTACCCGTTTCTGATTCACCCGATTCCAAAACGGATAGCATCTCCAAGTCCCCTAAATTATCCGAATCTAAGGATTGTACGTGCGTTGAGGATTCCAAGCAATTCGCCGGTGAAAGCGCCAAAGGCGAAGTGGACGATGAAAACAAAACATTGCCGGTGCCAGATGAGGTGGAGTCGGCCAAACCGAAAGAGGAATCCGAGCCGACAGATAACCGAGTCATTAAAAAATCAGACAGTGCCTGCGGCGACTCCGATGAGCAGTTGGGTCCACTCACGGACAGGGAGCGTCTGCTATGCGAACATATGCTGCGTCGCATGTGTGAAATGTGTGGGGAGGAGGATCAAGGCGCCGAGGAGCAGACAGATGATAGCCACAGTCACTCGCCACCCTGCCAGCCCTGCGTCTGTTGCCATTGTCGAGCGCTCGTCTGCGATAATCAGTGCAAGACGGTGTCCAACACACTGGATGCCATCCGCTACGATCCGGTGGCCGAAACAGTAAGTTGACCTCTCCTACAGACACAAGACTAGGCGCGAAACTTAGGATATATTCTTATATGTGCGGCCATCAAACAAATTGTTCAAATTGTGTGGACTCTTCAAAAGGTGGACAAATTTAGGGGGTATACTTTCGCCCACAAAATCCTATATATTCCGCAATTTTATAGTTAAAGTTACCAAACTTGAAAGGTAGATTACTAGGTGTCTCCTCCAAACATTCGTTTCCGAAGCCTATATCTCTCGCATCCAGCCTGTTCTGTGGCACTTGTTATCAGCTCGTATTACTTATCGATATCAGAGTATTCCGCAGTTGGTTACGCTCGACTGCAAAGTTTTCACTGGTTTTAATCTGTCATTTTATAATTTCCTGCAGAAATTTTTCATTGATTCCATAATTTGCGATTTACATGCCATGGATCATGTGTTGACCAAGAATAAACTTCAACCCAAGGTAAATTTGATTTTATAATCGCATTGCTTTATCCGCATTATTTTCTAATTGTTGGACTTTGTCATCCACAGAAATCGAAGCCATCGCCTACCATGGGCAGTGCACCGGGTGAGAGCTTTCCGGTGACCATCAAAGATGTCTCCAGCTTGGGCTGTCGAGCGCTCTATGTGCGCTGGTACATTGAGGACTGCGCGGCCATTGGTGGCTATGAGGTGAGCTTAAATCGAATTTAAATCTTATCGGTATCCAATTCGTTAATTAATGCGTCCATTTCAATTGTTAGATCTATGTGGATGGGCATTTGACGAATCGTTTTTATAGTTTCCGACACGAGGCTGGCGTTGTGGCCAATGTGGATGTGACCCGAGGCCATCAAATAATTCTGCGCGCCCTGACGGTGGGTCAAGAGTTTGGCGACGAGCCCGGCTGCGATAAGAATGCCATGGCGCACGCCCATCCCGAGATGCTGGTGGGCGCCAGCCGGCCCTGGACGCCCAGTGTCTTTTTTTATGAACCCTAAGTTCGTGTGCTAGTCAAAAGTTTTATTAGCAAGTTTTGTCCGTTCTCTTCCAGTTATCACCCCCCCTGCCCTTATCATTAGCTTATGTCCCTTTACACCCTTTACTTTACATGAATCAATTGTATCATTTGTAAATCGTGAGGAATCCAAAGTGTTCCTTTTCAAGTGCACAATTCAAGTGCTTCACAAATGTGCCTTAAAATGTTTACTCGTCGAAGTTGCACATGTTATGCGATTTAAACGCGTTACATATATATATATATATACATCTATATATATATAAATATTTCAATCTGTTAGACTACAAACAAAATTAGAGATGGGCAATTTATAGAAATTGATCTTAATCTTGTGTTAATAGAAAAACGTTATACTCGAAAAGTGTTTGTTTAATATTGCAAGTGTTGTACAGTCTCAATTGCACTAAATCACAGTGCTGTGTAAAGTCACAATCGCAATGAAAATCGTAGTAAATCACAGTGAATCAATGTAATGAATGCATGTAATCACAATAAATCACACAGTTAATAACTGTGGTAAAGAATATCACTGAGTGGAACAATGAATCAATGTTAATCACTGGAAATCACACTGAAAATCACACTTGATCATCACAATCGCAATGAGCACCTATATCAGGCATATATTGTCACAATCAATAACAGCAAACATATATTTTAGATAAGCATATTGATCAATGAATTGATTGAGCTATTGTGAAACCCACTAATACACAATGCTTATGACTCGTAATACTCATAAATCATTTGCTGTTAAGTCTTGTCGCCCATCTCTATGAACGTAGTAGGGAGTTATAGTTAGTCTGCCGTTTTAGGCAAGCAAAACTGTTGCATGTTATCGATAACAGTTATTCTAATATTAATATTACTTACCACCTGGAACGTAGCAATTGTGGACCAAGGTTCATTTTTGAATATACGTAGTTTTTACACACTATTTAATGCGCATTATTTTTACTGTGAAATATACAATAAAATTAACATTTAAATGCATGAAATGCACGATGCTATGGACAGGGGGATATACACACATGTATATACATATGTATTTATGTATGTATGTAGTAAGTAAGTATGTATGTATGTATGTATGTATGTATGTATGTATGTATATGTATGTCATCTAATACTAGTTTGCGTAGTTTGCTTCAATGGAACTGAGAGACTTAAAACTTATCGACGCAGACAGGGCTCGCAGGTGCCGGGTAGCACAAACGATGGATGGCACTCGGGGCACTTGGGATTCTCGCCAAACCATCGGATGTTGCTTGAGGAGCTGCTGCTGCCGCTGCTGCTCCCAGTGGAACGACTGCTGCTGGAGCGACGTTCGGGTATCTTTAGCTGAAAGGAGTTGTATAGATCCCCAGCAGCACTTGAGCCCGGTGCATAGCCAGTCCGTCCGATTGCCTCCAACGGAAACGCATATTCCGGTATGAGCAACTGTTTGCGCAGCTGTGTTATATCCGTTGTGTGGGCAATGGTACTGGGGCTGGCGACCACATCGGAGCGACGTTGTGCCTTCTCGTTGCCCCCCACGGCCAGCTCATTGGGCTTGATCGATCTGGAGGTGGGCAGCCGCTTGCTGATCACAGCTGCTCCACTGTGACTGGCAATGTCATTCAGTTTGCTATTGTAGTTGTCCTGTTTGCTGGCATAGTTGCCGGTCGTCTCGGGATATTCACGTCCATCCACCCCAATGGGCGGATCCAGTTTGGGTGGCTCCAAGCCATTAGCTGGCACCTTCCACTCGTAGTAAATGGGCGGACCTTGTGTGGTGGCTATATCGTGTGGCACAAAGTCCACAAACGGTGGCAGCAGATCATTAAACGGCAGCTCCGCCTTCGATTGTACTCTTGGTGGCGCTGTCGTTGTGGGCGTGGTCAAACGGAAACTCTGCGCTGGCGTCGGCGTGCGATGCTCGATCTTAGTTGTAATGGGAGCGGCAGCGGGAGCAGGTCTATAATTGGTGCTCGCTGTGGTGGCCAGCGTGGAATGGGAGAAAGGTAGTCCGGCAAATGTGGTGGGTCGACTCAATGGTCGCACTGTGGTGCTTGGTCGAGCAGCTGCTGCTGGTGCTACTGCTGCTGCTGATGATGATGATGATGCAGTGAAGCGAAACTTAGTCGGAGCGGTGCTGAAGGGCGCCGCTGAAGAGGTGCGCAATGCATCTGCTGCTTGCTGCTGCTGCTGTTGCTGTTGTTGTCCATCATCCTGATTGTAAATGGGATAGACGAATGGTGGCTCATAGATTTTCGATGGAGTCTTCACAAACTTGACCAGCTTTGTGGTGATATTTTTGTACTGTGCCGCTGGCAGCTCAGCTGAATTGAAATCCGCCGAGGTATTGTAGCGTGTGCTGTGACTGGTGCCCAAATCATCCGTGTCCAGTTCCGTGATGCGCTGATGCAGTGCCTCGGTGCGTTTCGCCACCACAGGCGCTGTGAAGATGGGCCTGCGAGTGGTGGTTGTGGTCGAAGTTGTGGTGCTCCTACGAGTGGTGCTAGTGCTTTGGCGGGTGGTGGCAATGCTGCTGCTGCTTGCTCTTGGTCTGGCAGTGCTGCTAACCACCAGTTCAATCTGCGGCTCATACGCCGGCGGCAGGATTGTGCGACTGGGCGGTGGAATCCGCCAGCGAGTTTGACCATTTTGTGCGAACTGAGTATCAAATTTGACAGCGGTCTTTGTGGAATCGTCGCGTATTTGATTTTGGCTCGGCGTCAATTGCTGCGGCACATAATCGAATCAGTGATGTAAACAATTTGAATGCGGTTCAGTTGCGCTCACCTTGTACTGGCTTCTGAAGGATTCGCCGGAGTAGTCGGGCGCATAGGGACGATCCAGCAGATCGGGACGAGGTGTGCGCAAACTGTTCTCCTCATCGTTCACAAAGGGTTTGTCCCGCTGGCCTGCAGGCAAGGAAAGTGGTGATATAGTTAAATTATTTTTGAATTCGTCAATTTAATTTAATTTAAAATATTTAACAGCTCTAAAAATTGTTTACTTTCTTTTTTTATTTCATTAATTTAATTTTATTTATTTAATTCTGAGTAATTCTGCATTAAACATTTTGATATTTGGCAAAACGATGTAAAATTAAATCAAAAATTCAATTTATTTGTAAAAACGACACCAAAAACATGTTTTTTAAATTATAATGTTTGGTGAAAATATCAGTTTATTGGTTTAAGGAAAAATAGTTAAGTCCGAAGATTATTTTTAATAGAGACCTTGAATAATTATTTACACCACATAAGTTTAAAACACATTCTAAAGCTGTCCAAGTTGCCATTTAATAAAAAAAGTTCTAAAAGTGCTAAAAGCTTAAACCTAGAAAATCATTCTTTGATAAACAATTAAATGTAAATCTCACTTACCAATTAGAAGATTGGCCGCATAGTTGCTCTCAGCCTTGGAGCAGTTGACCATGTACCAGTGATCGCAGATGAGCATGCGCTGCTGGAAGAGCGTCGTATTGGGACAGGTATAGCTGAACTGGCGACCCAGGCCATCGCACATATGGTAGACCTAACCGAGAGGGATGATTACATAATGTATACACTCTGCGAGACTATGAGAGATGATGATGCTCACCTGACAGCCCGTCTCCACGTCGGCATAGTAGCCCGCTGGTCGTCCTGTGCAAGAGAAGGAAGTTTTCGCAATGGCGTTTTGACACTGAGAAATAGATGTAGAGATCGAGTTATGGAGGTATAATGAGATTTTCAGATACATGCAGCCACACAATGAGAACTGCTTGGGGTGCATTCAGTCAAGCTAAGAGCGATTAGTGTAGTTAAACAAATGATACGAGTACAACTCGCTGCTGCTGCTGCTGATCAAGATCTTTGAGTACTCTATCTGGGTACTCGTGCCGAGACAGATGTATGCGAATTTAGCTGGCATGTCTATGTTGATGTGTATGCCTCTGGCTATGGTCCACCAAGTGATGAATTGAAGTGATGTCATAACTTGGCACATGTTGCCACGGCTGCTTGCAACAGACAAGCGACCTGCTGCTGTGTGAAATGTCAACTTTGGTGTATGTTGTGTGATTTTCTGTGATTTTTTTTCTTCCATTTTTTAGATGATTATTTTTATGTTTAATTATATAGAAAAAGTCGTCACAGGTCTGTCGAGCGTTGCCAGTCGCAAATTATAGCCCAATGACTTATCGAAATCTGCCACTGGGCCTCTCCACATAACTACGTGTGAATATGTGACGAAGCTTCCGCACCTAACCCACTTCCCCAGTCTCCCGACCCGCCAGCCTGCCAAGTCCGTGAAAGATAATTTTCCCAGCCGAAAACACACATGAACGCTTCCAGCGCAGCGCAGCCCTACAACAACTTAGCTTAAGTCTTATATAATATTATTGAAAAGAGATATAAAAATAGTTTTGCTGGACAACAGATGTTTTCGCTTGGATTTAGTTGTACATTCGCTTTTTTCTGTGTTTTTTTTTTTTTACTAAACCCTTCGCATTGCTAAAGCCTACTTTTCACAGTTGATTCGACAGCTGTAACTAAACTTAAGCATGTCTTTCAAAAGATCAAAAGATGCAACAAAATATTTTGATTTAAGAAAATTCCTATTTGGAAATATTTAATTCGATAATTTATTATGTGGCGCAAATTTGTATTTATAACATGAACTCGTTTTTCTTGACTTTAATACCCTGTATTTCTCAAAAGCGGAATATACAACTATTCAGTTGATGGGATAAAGCTATAAACATTTTGATGTGGTATATTAAATACTATGCCTGATGGAAGATAATTTGTGATATTTCTAAAGTGAGATCGTATTTTATTTCATCACCTTTTGTATTTTGTTATTTTTTTTCAAAGATCAGGGTATTTTCAAGAGAAGCACCCACATCTGGAGCACACTAATTTGTCAAAATAAAACAGTTCTCAACACTTTTACTCTGGCACTTATGTATATGGCAGCGTTTCCCGTTGACTAATAAGGCAATGCGATTAGCATTCATTTGCGATGTTGTGGGCTCAAATTATTTGCATTTGTATTTGCCTTTTATGGGTATATACATTGCTTAGTGGCAGGCATTCGAACAAATCTCTGGATGCTGAGTCAAAGATGTTAGTCTAGCAACTAGGTATGTGACATGTGAATGGGTGACTAGCCAAAAAGTACTCAGCTAGCGATTTATTTATGTAATTTAATCACACACTGCGAATGGTTGTAACTAATTTCATAGTTAATAGCATTTCATTTGTGGTTGATACTTACTAAAATTTATAAAGTAGCGTTAAATGCGTTAAAATGTTGATGGGGCTTTTCAAGCGATTGCGCAACTTCATAATTTTACCTTTAACTTCAACTTCAACTTCAAATTCAACTTTAAATTCATCTTCATCTTCATTTCAGCGGAGCGAGAAAAGCCAAAACAAACTTTTTTATTCAATGTATTTTGTTCCATTTTTTTTTTGTCGACTTTTTTTTACCACTTCTTGTGCTGCAAAAGTGTCAGTAAAAAGGTCACTTGGTCAGCGACTGCGTCAACGTCTTTGTTTTAATATGCTTGAAGACCTTTGGCGCTGCTTTTGTCGTTGCCAGTGTAACTGTTGTTGCTGTTTGTGGCATGTGTGTGAATGAATAGATGTGGCAGTGTGGCAGTAGAAGGTGCACTCACATAGACAGCCATAGAATAAATTAAAAATGAAACAAAGCGTAAAGAGCGCAAAATTACAACATTTTCCGCCGTTGCTCAAAAGCACTTGGGAAGTGACGCCGTATAAAAAAAACTAGACGAAGAAGCTAAAGCAAAGCAAACGCTGCCAAAGCTTTGCTGAGGGGGGTGTAATGTCCACATGATCGCGGGGAGTGGCAGCATTTTGCAAAATAATAAACACCCAATTTTAATGGCTTAATGTGCCAGCAAATGTTGCATAGAAAAAAATAATAAAAAAGATTAATTATCCCAAAAGTTGGCCCTACATAAAAAAGTAAATGTTTTTAATTTCATTTATCGCAACAAATGGGTTAAAACCTAAAACACTATGTGAATTCGAATATTAATTTCCATGTTACTTTACTTTAATATTGTATTGCATCAAACTGCAATTATTTTTAATTAAAGCATATAAGTTTTTAATTTGAATACACACTTATCGCAGTTTTTATATTTATACTCAGGAAACATAAAGGAAAGCTATTTGTCACGAATTATGTTAAGTAAATAATGAATATTTGTAATAATAATAAATTCTCAGTGTGCATTTCCGAGTAGTCTATCTGGATTTTTCAATTAACTGATTTATCGGAATAATAATATCTGCTGTGAATAACTAATCACACCGAAAAAAAAAATCACAAATATCTCCAACGTCATAAACTAAAGCTTTAAAAAAACTTATTATCAATACTCATTAAATTAACAAAAAAAAAAAAAAAACCCAAGAGTATTAAATTAAATAATTAAATAATGTACAAAATAAATTAAAAATACATATAGCTAAAGCCAAATGTTAAAAGTATAAATGAGGCCCACATTTTTTACTATTATTATTTTCTATAATTGCCTATTCATTTTTAGTATTTTTGGTTAATAACTTATTTTTATACTTTGACAAATATCTTAGCTGTTTTTAGATTTTAGTCTTACTTTGTTTTCAATTTTATTCTGAGTACCACATACCTACATTTTTCTATTTTTAATATAGAAATGACAAACTATTAAAAGACAATATTTTTGAATAGACTTCAGTTGGTGAGGAATTTTGCCTTGTCAGCATGTAAGCATTTAGAATTTTATATATTGCTTAAGCGATTAATTATTGCTATCTCTGGCATGCTAATAAGCACTCGTTCTTTGCTAATCTATGTATGTATACAATTTAAGAAACATTTGTATTATTCTATTAAGTGTAATTTGCATTTCAATGCTCACGTGCCCGAACACCACAATCCACAACACTGTGTTAAGATATTTAGATATTTAATTAGCCGCTGGCTCGGAAGAGAGTCGGCTTAACACGAAACTTACCTCACAGCCCAGAAATAGCGTAAAACAGAATATTGCGAGGGTAATGAGTTGAATATCTTTCAAATTTGTCGTCATTTTCGTCATTTCGCTGTCACCTTTTATTTGTTTATTTGAGTTGTCTCCAGTTACCCAATCGATTGGCGAACTTAATTGTTGTTTTTTTTTTGGCTGAAAGTGTAAAGAAAATATAATGTTGTTTTGGAAAGTGTAGACTAATTGACTTATACATTAAGTTCACAAAATAGGTCTTTTTGTGTCCGAGTTGATTTACTTTAGATGCGCGTAACAACTTTCTTCAACTGTTTTTTATTTATTTTAACAATGGCTAACAATGGGTTTTTGCGTTCCATGGTGAAAACAATTTTCGATTTTAAGTTTTGTAATTAATTGTAATTTAAAAAACATTTGCAGTCGATTTCGTTGCTCTCTGTTGTTATTTTTGTTGTTGCTGTTGCCAACAAGCGGCATAAATTGTTGCCATTTTATGGCTAGAAGAATTAGCAACGCATTTAAAGTTGCCTCTGCCTCTGCCACTGCCTCGACCTCCACCTACAATTCAATTTGCAACCTTGCAGCTTCAGTTTACACACAACACACACACACCCACAACACACACACACAACACACACATACAATGTGTGTTGTGTGTCGTGCCATGTGGCAACTCATCCGAAATGCAATTTTTTGCTGCTTTCCAAGCTTTCCAAATATGCCAAATTGAACTTTGAACTATTTGTAGTTTTTTACTTGCTTTCCTTGAAGCAAAACTAGTTGATCCATTTAAACTCACGCAAGTTGATTTTAAAAGCACTGCGAAAAAATTTGCATTTAGAGACGAGTTTTTTGCTCGTGATTTGCATATTTGGAGTTGATTATCTTCTTGATCCAAAAAAAATTGGGATAATTAAAGTCAAGAATTCAATATATAACCAACTGACATAGTTTTAAATTGTTTATTTTTATCAGTTATATTTGGAATTTTCTCATGATCTGTATTAAGTTGAGTATCGCAATTCTCCACAAATTTGAATTGGTTTAAATTGTAGTTTCTTCATACGATTCTTTTAGTCTGGGAACTGAATTTAATTAAATCACAACGTTTTTAATTATCCAAAAAATCGACTAAGACACATATCTATTATATCTTCTATGTAAAGTCATTAATCAATCTATTTGTAACGCACAAAATAATGGATAGTGGATTGTTTAGAAGCCATTCATTTCTGTTTTATAATACCAACATTTTCTGTATATTTTCTAAATAACATTTTAAAATTCAATTTGTAGGTTTTATGTGATCTCTCAACCAGATTCCTTGAGTACTCCAATCAAGATCACGACACTCAAACCATTTATTTATTATTCGAGTATCCGACTACCAACATATTTCAGCTCTCAAAACATTTCAATTTCGATTTCAGGTTTTCTATTGAACTATTAACAAGATCATTTTGTGCGTTTTGGAGTCGCAGGCACCACCATAATACAAACAGCAAAAAGCACTAAAAAAATGCGGTCCATTTGGATGGTTTTTGTTTTTTTTTTGTTGGTATTTTCCTTGTCTTGACCTTTTTGACAACAGCAACAACAAGCAGCAGCAAATATTTGCAACTTGGTCCTCAGCTCGTGATGCTGGTTTCGTTTTTTATTGCAGTTTTGTGCCTGCCAGCATAACAAGCAAAAAAAAAAAAAAAAAGTAGAAAAAAAAGAAATAACCAAAAACGAAAAACTAGCCAAACTCAAAGCCTATTTGACATTTTTGCAATTTCCACAGAAAGAGCATTTACGGGCCCCAAGATGCTTAGAAGCTGCACCAGCAACAACAAAAACAAAAACAAAAACGAAAACAAAACCAAAAACAACAACAATTATACCAATTAGGTGGCATTACAGGTTGATTACGACTCTGGCATTATTTAGTTTCTAATTGTTGGCATCGGCGAACGAAGGAAGTTATTAAGTTACGACCAGTCGACAGAGTGATCAGAAACATTGTTTACGACTCACCTTCGTCTTAAAGTTGACAAACAAATTGCTGCTCTGATCGTAGGTGGGGTTGTTAATCGCATTCCATGTGGTTAGTTCTGTCGTTATTCTAAACACACATCGAACTGTTTACAACTAACTGCGACACGCTGATCAATCGCCGATCGATGATCGATGATCGTTGATCGTTGATCGCCGACGGATCGGTTGATCTTTCCAAAGATCAAATGTCAGCTGCAGCAGATCGAACGAGAAACAAAGTCAAGAGCACACGCGCCAAATTTGATGGAATCACGTTCGGTCGATGGATGATGTTAAAAATGCATAGATCCATAGATCGACAGATCCAGTTGGCGTAAATTAAATATGTATTTATTATGGCATGCCATTAACACTTAATGCCTATCGACGGTGCACAATCAGCCGTTGCAATTGCAAATTGCACTTCAAACGACGCGCGTTAATATTTTTTGTATTATGTTTGCCGCTACTTTATTTCTCTAAGCTGTATCTCAATCGCTGTGTGAACGTGTATCTGTGTATTTTTGTATTTGTTTATATTTATTTATTTAGTTTTTTTTTAGCCGCTACATCGACCGCATCGAACAACGTCTCGCACAGAACTGATGCCTGCCAATGCATTCAACATGGCTTAAAATTCACATTAGGCCGCTGGCGAAGTCCGCCCGCCAGACGCAGTCGCAAAAGAAGCGCCAAATGATCGTCATCAGCGCCGGCGCACAGTGGCGCAAACTTGTTGAAAAACTTGCACTAACATCAAGTTAATTGGTTAACAACTCCAATAGCAATGATATGGTTTCTATTTTTAGACATTTTTTATTTGCTAATATGCAAATGATTTCGATGTGTATTCACGCAATATTGGCACACTGTGCGGTAAGCATCTTCGTTAATAGCCGAAGGCGGGCGAAGCTGCTGCAAAGATCGTCTAAATGTAGTTGATGTGGGCAGCGCAGTTACGAGGCCCGAGCTAGACTCGTTGCCACAGCTAGAGCCAGAGCCAGAGCTTCAGCTCGTGATAGAGCTCTCAGAGTTGGGCAGGCAACAAAGCGTTAACATAACAACTACAATTTCATTTTCATTTTCATTTTCGTTTCCATTTTCGTTTTCATTTTCATTTGCAATGTACACAGTTTTTGGGGATTCGGGTTATTAGTGTCGGGTATGCCACCGTTTAAGCGGGGAGGCCCTTCACCAAATGACGTGCTGTGCCTGTGTGTGTGTGTCTGTGTGTTTATTTGTCTAATTTATTGGATCGCCAAAACAGTTGGCTAAATAGAGCAATCGCGAAGAGCAACAGCAGCAGCAGCAGCAGCCGAACTCGAGCTCGAGATCTGAGTCAGATTAGGCGGGGGATTACGAAAGGCAGCAACTACAGCCTAGTACAGCGTTGGCGTCGACGTCAACAGCGACAGCGACAGTTACAGCGACAGCGACAGCATCGTTTTTAGATTTCAGTGAATTTTGTAAGATGAGATTTTCATTTTCAATTCATGCCGTTTATTTACTTGTTGTGCCGCCTTTCAAAGCCCTTTGTCGTGCAGCGTAAAAAAAAAAATAGAAAAGAAAAACTGAGAACTGCATTGGGTTAATGCCATATAGATGGGGATTGGGAAAGCAGAGGGGCGCTTGGATCGACTGTTTGTTTGGCTGTTTGGCTGTTTTGTTGTCGATTGTCGGTTGTTGGCTGTCTGTTGCCTCATTGCATTTCTAGGTTCATATATTCATATGGAGATGCAGCAGCAGCAGCAGCAACAGCAGCGTTTATTATTTGGGTTTTTGTGCTCGGGTCGTGACGCTCTGGCTGGGCAGGAAGTTGAAGTACGATGCTGTTGCATGAGGAAAACAATCAAAAGATCTATAAAAAAAAAAAAAAAAATAGATAACCATATTGAAAATGTTGAAGAAAAAACCAAAAACACAATTCAATGAAATAAATGCGTGTTGTTAATATTTTCGTGAATATAACGGTGCAACGGTACGTATACACAACAATGAATTTTGTGACGTTTCTCTACTAAAATTGAGAGTAATGTAAATGTTATCAACTGATAAACACATTAAACATTGGGTGATTGCCTGACTTGCTGTGAGTGTTGCTGGAATTCGGTCAATATGCGGCTCCGCGGAATTTCCGTCTCCACACGGCTGCCGGAAATATCGATGTCTTTGTCATTCTTATCATGGAATATGTCAATTGTGATGCGAACGCCTAAAAAAATAGAAGAATTTTGTTACAGATTGCAAATGAGAATAATCCTATTTTGATCTAAATTTCGGATCTCCACTTACCATATTTGCTGCGTCGAATAGTTGTCTTGCTTTCATATGATTTTGCCACTGATTCACCATTCGAGGCATTCCCGCTTAACGATTGACGTAGCGAAGTTTGGTCATCCAATGTGGTCAATCGAAAGTTGTCTTTGCTATTGTGTAGGCAGTATTAATTGAATAGACAAGTAAATGTAGAAAGAATTGTCTCACTTGCAGCTGTTGCCAGCCTGACCATCTGAGTCTGGCATTTTATTGCAAATGCAACTGCAAAATTCCTGCTCCTCAACCTTTGCAATTTCGCCGAAATATATGGACTTAGCCTTATTCAATTCTTGGTTCTTTTGTGTGGCAAAGTTATAGAGATTTATCATATCACGCACACGAATGGGAGTCTCCTTCTGCACTGGACTTGTTGAATGGCAGACATTGGAATTGATGCTGCAATTATCATCCTCGAAGCTTTGATCGCAACTCATGTCTGTCTTGAGCTGGTTGATACTCTTATTAAAAATATAATGCAGAAAATTTTATCAAATTTTGTTTTGAACAATTTTCTTTTGAAATGTAGGAACCAAAACAGCTACACCAAAATTGAGATTGTGATTGACTGCTACGCACAAACTAGTTCTCAATACAATATTTTTTCAACAGTTGCTGGGTTTATACAAAATATGAATTTTAAACGTTTTATAATACGAATCATAAAAAGTATTGTACATAAATTAAAGACGCATTCTCCGATTCTTAATGATCTGCTGAAACTTTTCACACTTTAATAAATCATTAGAAAACGGAAGACAAGGCATTCATTGTTAAATAATACAAAATGTTGATATACAATATATTAGTAAGAGATGCATATGGATCTATCTTATCTACAGATTGGGTAGAGTCTAAGGTCAAATGCTGATATATTAAGTATTATATAATAATGGGTCGGAAGTGCCTTCTACTGTCTGTTACATAGTTTAACCACGGCAAACAATTCACAGAAATATCATTCAGAAGCAACATGTTCGAGAAAACAAAAGAAATATTCCATTGTAATATGTAATATGTAGTTGTACATAGTTTTAGGGGTTTTAGGTAACATCTTCAGTTCGTTAGCAATTACCAACAATAAGCAAATGTAAATGTAATTCATATTTGAATTGAATTTACAGCACGACCTTCGCTGCGGCAATAACAAAAATCGAAAGAAAAAAAAAACGAAATCGAACCGCATCGGCTTTTGGTGGTTATTAGTGAAATTCGAGACGTACAGTGAATGCCACAATGTTGAATTGTCTTAGCGCGGATTTACTGGAACTGGCAGGCGTTGAATGTACACATATAAATGATGTATGTGTAGATGTACATACCATTCATAATTAGATAGAAGTGTGTGTGTACTCTTGTACGAGCTAATATGTTTTGAAATTGGGTGAGGAATGACTTGCAGCGGCAGCATCATCATTATGATTATCAGCATCATCATCAAAATCAGCAGCGCCAGCTTCAGCATCACCATCAGCTCCATTTGGCACACGCTCCCAAAAAGCCGCTGTTAAGGTCAATCAGTAATTGCGTGCGACATGTGACGATTTCGATATGGTCAGCATCTGTTCAGATTTGCTAAGTAATTTGCCTGATCCAAGTCAAGGATGCACAACAAACATACACTCGGATAAAAAGACCTGAAAATTGGTAAATTGGACCCAAAGATATGCAAGTTTTTCTTATTTCTAGAAATATTTTATGAATGTAAGAAACAAATTTATACAAATTAGAAAGACTGTAAGCTACTGTCATTATTGGTTACTTGACAAATTAATGTTTTATAACCTTTCACTAGGTTGATTAATGTTTAAAGTATAAATGCAATATAAGAAATAAAAAATTTATAAAATCACTTTTCTTAAAATTAAAAAGTGGAATTCGATAATCCTCAAATTATGGTGTTGTTTTATATTTTTGGAATTATTTTCTATTATTAAGAAATGCATTTATAATATGTAGATATGCAAATGTCTCATTCTTGGAAAAACTATTTAGAATGTTTGTATGCGTGAAAAAATCTAATAAAGGGATCCTACTATGTACACACATATGAAACAAACAATATTCTGAATTTTACATAATACACATTAAAAAAAAATCAAACCCTTGACATAACCTTCAATTTATGATATATAAATTCTAAATAATAAGATGAGGAACGAAAATTCAGATTGATTTTTTTTATATTTTTCTATTCACTAACGAATATTTTGAGAAAAGTCAACTTTGATCAAATAGTGCAGAAAACGTTTAAAAATAAATTTAAAAAAAAATTATTTGCAATTCACTTTTTGTATATTTTAGGTCATCCTTGTGCTTATCCTTCAAATCCAAATCCAAGTCCAATTTTTTTTTTTACGCGCAACTAAAGTATATTGCTATATGCTTTTGTATCTTATCTTATTGTGTTGCTTAATTGGATTTTTTGAGATCATTATCTATTTCATAGCTAGGCTTTCAACCCACTAATGGTTTTACATACCATAGATGGTTTAACTAATCATATATACTTTTTCTTAACTCACAGATCAGTTTGTATAAAGTTAAAGACAAGGACATTGAAATCCAATTCGTTCAGCTTGAATATTTTGTGGTACAAATTGTACACATGTTGACAATTCGCCATTAGCGGTGACATAATAGTCTTTAAGAAATCATCTGAATGCCAAATTTTTTGGGTTCTATGCATCACGAGTTCAGTCTGCACTTGTTTTGTTGCGCATCTTTTGGCAATTAGCGGCGATGTCAACGGGTTCAATGGAAATCAAGAGAAGGTGTGGGGCCTACAGCCACAATTCGAATGCGATTACGAATACGAGTATGGGTACCCAGTGAATGGTACAGAATGCTACTCCTCAGTAATCGTATATACCACATACCACGAGGTGTGTCATCGACATCTCTCAGTTCTTGTTGCTCTCCCACCGAGCGGGGAACGGAGAGGGTAGGCGAAGGCGTGTGATTCTATTGAAGGCCATAGCACAGTAACAACAATAACAAACCAAAGAATACTCCAAGTGAGAGTGCTCGACTTCGAGATGCTCTCTCACCGTATAAAATATGATGATTTGTCAAGAAATCACACATGATAAACTAATTTTAAAAAACAAATTGTAATATAGAAAATTGAAGTTGGTAATTTATGGATATGTACTTAAAAAAGGCAATTAACTTGATTCGCTGATGAAATAGAGCAGTTACATTCAAATATGTGGTAACAGAGAATTTAAGTTGGTAATTGCTGGGTATATACTTAAAAAGGGCAATCAACTTAAGGAGTAGAATAACCGCATATTAAATTTCATTTTTCTCGCAAGAGCGAGAATAAATCAGATTATGAATACACATATTTATATATATATGTATATATATTATAATCACGCTTAGGTGCTGCTGTCTGTCACATTTAACGAGTACAGGGTATTAAAAAGAAAAACAATTGTTGCTTGCCATTTATGTTGGCTCATTTGTTCTGCTTCTTTCTCGTTTTTTACCCAATGGGCATCATACAGACATATGTTTAATTGCTAAATTGGTGCAATTCGGCATTATTCATGTTGATAGCTAAAGCCCGCCGCCGCATGGTTCTTGTTTTTGAATTAAGCAAGGTCTTCTTGAATCAGCCCAACAATAATAATAATAACAATAACAATAACAATAGCAATAACAACATGAGCCGAAAACAATAATAAACACAGATTCACACGTTGATTAAAACTTATTTGTAGCGACACAAAGCAGCGGGCCAACATCTGGTCATGAGTATGAAAAATGAAAGTGCTTATGAAGAAGCTTAGATTGCGGCACCAGTTTTAGTTTTCAGTAGAATTCCCATACAGAAACACACACGTACACACACAGTCATTTATCAGTGATAACAGTTGGCAGTTAGCAGTTGTTGGCGGAGTGTCAATTATTGCGTATACGCCACCAACAAATGACAATGCCCAGGAATTGAATGACGTATATAATGAATAACGACTAACGAATAACCTGTGTAATGAGTTGTATACAATTGCCTAGTTATTCCGAGTATGCCTAGTTAAAAGCAAAATATACCGAACACTGACAAAAATAAATAAACTTATTAGTTGCGATTGTTCTAATTGGAGGTGGAGTTTATGTTGGCTCAAAATTATTATTATGTGTCTTCTTTTTTCATTAATATTTTTTTTAATGATCATAAATAATAACAAACAAATAAAATGGAAAACTAATGGAATAGTGATGATAATGACAGCTTAGGCTTCTTTAATGTGAGAAATTCTTTTTATAAGTAACAAATCGAAAATCACAAAGCGCATTAGGGAATTTGAACGTTCTTTAAATAAATTAAGGTTAAGGCCACTGCTGGTTTAAGCATGTGAAAGCTCTTGATATTTTTGACAAGTGTACGAATTTTAAATATGCATAATGCGTACACGGAAAGTCAAAAGTCAAATAAACGTAGAGCTAGCTATGTAAACACCTTCGCCTTTGGCAGCTGCTGCAAGTCGCTGTTCAAGTCTAAGTTCGCCGCAAGTTGAGGCAGCGAGTTGCTTAGCTCCGCATCCGGTCACATCGCGACCGATTTTAAGTGGCAATTTTTCTAACTGGGGTGCTACAAATTTGTCAAACTGACAATGCGGCAAGGTCAGGCATCAGCATAATGATCAGAGGTCCGCTCGGGCATGCGGTCAGCATTGGCATATCATTGACCTTAAGTGACGAGAGGCGGCGATCTGGAGAGCACTGAATAAGCCAAGATTATCACCTTTGGATACATTTATTGCACTTACTGTAGTTCAATTGTAGGCACTGCAGCATCTTCAGCCATCAGCACCAGGTCTATAGACCTACATAGACGATACAATGTTGTGGCCGATGGCACAATGTATAACACGACTATTAAAGGTCATCGAATGAAAAGCGAAAAACGTTAAGTAAATCAAATGAGTATACAAATAAACATGCCACTCACACTTTGTTAATTGTTGTGTATTCTCATTATATATATACATTTGAATATGGTTCAAACGAAAGATTCAACACACGAACTTCGCGCCAGGGCATCCAGCGCTCAAAGCTGTAGCTAAACAATATGTTAAGCAGAGCAGTATTTGTCTACCCTCGAGTCTGGCACAATGGCTTCTGTCGTCTCGTTTGCAACGCTACACCAAATTAGACATCCTCTCGACACACAGCTAAAATAAAATAAACATTTGCCATAATTATTTTTTTACGAGCAATAAGTTGCCATTATCTATGGCTAGCATAGCGAATAGCCTTTTGTCTGGTCTATAAATAATAAGGTGTAGTGTATTATATAAGCTGATGATATCTGTACGTTATTGTTAATCAATATGCGTGTTGTACATCTTATGGGAGTTCCGCACATGTTCTCAATTGACAAGAAGTCTGTTTATGTTTATGCTTTTGTCTGGCATGGGGAATTTCACTGCCACTTTACCTGACCTTGGCCACTTGGCAATGAGGCTAGGAGCAAGTGCCGTTGTTTTAGTAGACCAAGAAGGCAACGACGACGACAACGACAGCACTACTGGCAAGTGCCACAGCTTCAGTTGAGGCAGCCACTTCAACAATGAAGCCATCAAACCACAAAATAGGTTCAATGTTAATGTTAAATCAACCAAAATAATTTCGGCTGAATGATGTATCGCATTTAGAAATTAGAGTACATGATTAATTGATCTGCTTACAGCTGCCATAGATGCAGTACAAGCATATATATAAATATAGTACACACACACACACACATGCACACATAATATATAGGTACGCACTGTGTACTCGGATTATTGATGATCGCCGCAAACATTTTTAGACTGATCAACTGAAAGGCGACCGCTACAAAATCTTAACCCACATATGATTTGGTAGGCGCTGGGTGCGCTACCATTGTGGCGCCCCTTGCTTGATTAAACCTTTATAAACAACTCATCAAAATAGCAACAGCAATTGATGAGTATTTTCTATTATCTATGTGTACTTTGCTGCTGCTGCGGTGGCGTTTAAGAGTTTATGTGGAAAATAAATATAATATGTATATTGTTAGGTGTCAATCAAGGCATTTTCTGTGCTACCTATTAATGCAGCAAAGCCACCAATTACGCTGCAGCATAATGCAGGCTGCTGTTTTGTGGCTTGCGGTTGCATCGCCCATGAAAAACCCAATCAAAATAAACAAACAATCGCTGCAGCTGAGCAGATAAGTTGCTGAGGTGCTTCTAAGCATAATTTAATTTATTGTCATGCAAATGATTTAAGTATATAGTTATTGCAGGCTCAACAAGTTACTAAAATTTAAAAATATTTAACTAACTAATAACTAACACTGCACTCAATTTAAAGGTGCGCAACTGATCTGCATTAAAAAACTACTTCAAATAAACGCGGCCAAAGACTTAATGTATCGATGCAGCATATCGATAAGTTACTCATTATGGCGTTATTCAGTGTTGCTCAATTATTGAGCTTGCAGTATTGGGAATAACAGCTGGCTTCTCAGCTTATGGTGTGCAGCCCTTGCATTAGGCTTATGGGCTTATGCGTAAATCACAGATTGATAGTTTTTATATTCCTGCTAATTTCTGTTACTCCCAAAAGCCAGGGCTATGACGAAGAACTCATTGGAACTGCCTGCAATCTGGATCTGGCTCGTAAAAGTGCAAATTGAGCAACTGCAGAGTCTATAGGTTAAGCTGGACTGACTGGCATATATGGAGGGTGCTTAAGTCATGTATTTCGGATACTACCATCAAATAGTTATTCTCCGGCCAGAAAGGAAATACAGAACACGAAGATAGAAATATAAATCTTATTTTTGATCAGTTTTAGAAAATTATGACCAGCTTCGGCTTGTTGTAGTATATCTGAATCCAGTTTAATTTTAAGCAGACTCGAATAAAGCAATGAAAAGTTCGAAATTCCTTCCTTCACCAGAGCTACCATCTCTCCGTAGAACATACAATTCGTCTTTGTAGTTTCCGAGAAAATAAGCATTATGTGATCTCGCTTTTTTTCGCTCGTCCTGAGGTAAAATATGTACAATTTGGGATTTTAGATGGCCCAATAATCCGTGAATAAGGTTGATTACGTCTTTGCAATTCAAATGCTCCATCTCGACAGTCTGTAAGGATTTGGAATAGTTAGTGCAAGTTTTCGAAAAAGCAATCGTCAAAATAGTCTTAGCCTAAGCGTATGCTTTAATTTTTTGTTCTTAAAATTGGTTGGCACTAATTATTTGATTTTCAGCCTAAGAGTATGCTCTTTTTGGGGCATTTACCACCTGCAGATTGTTTTTATTGAAAACAAATAAAGTATGCAGTGTTTTTATTGACTTTAAAACAAGCTCACATTTAACCCAGTGAAGGGCAGTTATTAATTAATTAAAATTATGATACTCTGATATCAGAATTATTAAATTTTTTTCGACGCCCTTATAACTGATCGGGTATATCGATAAAATAATATTTCTCACGCAATTCTTCAATGCTTTTAGCAAGAATCATCAAATTTGAAATATACATTGTAAGTAAGATGTACATTTTTTGGATCACGTCCGTCCAAAGTCGGTAAGAGCCTATATTTTCCCCAATTTATGAGCTAAGCTTATCAAACTTGAAAGGTAGATTAGTAGAAACCTCCTTCAAGGATGGATGTTTCTTGGCTACACACACCCCGTTGGGCGTCACCGGTTATTAGATTACTTATGGTTATGCCAGACTGGTGTTCTTTCTATTTATTACAAAATGTTTTCCCAAATTCTTTATAATTCACACAGATATTAAATGGTTTACGAAAGTGGTCCTTAGTAATGAGCCGCACATTTGGCCACGCGTGTATCCTCTTCTGGATGTTTCTTTGGGTACTGTGATTTACATTCTCCCCATCAGCGATGTACTAATAACTGCATATAATACCTAACTTGAGGAGATCACCCTATAGAAGTTAATAAAGACACATTTCATATATAATTTCGATTGAATATTTTCTAGTTTTATTTCGCTCTGATTGTTTGGATATGCGCTTTACGAGTACATGCACTTGGTTTCTAATAGTTGTTATTTTTGTTAAATGAAATAATTATGAAGTAAACTCGTAAATAACATAGATTACACATACATTTGTATCTCGATTTAATAATAGTTTGGAATTCGATTTCGATTAGCAAATATTATTGATTTAATGTTGCCTTTACTCACGGCAGTCAAATTGAAATGTACAATTAAAGTAGTTGAATAATTGTTTAATTTATATATATATATCGTATAGTAAATGTTTTATGCGGGCGACTAGAAATTCAAGAAATCTTTTAAATATACAATACAATACACGCTCTCGGATTTACGATTGTTTATCTAATGAGTTACATGCTAAACGATAGGAATCATGAAAATTACTTTTACTTGCATTCATTTGTTTGTTATTTTGTTGTTTACATCTAGTTAAATTTAAATTATTAAATATTATTAATACAAGCATTTGATATATGTATGTATTACGACTTACGACTACTTAAGCACTTAATTACAATTTTTGAATGTGTTTTTTGTTTTCATTTGAATCATCTTCAATGCTATTCAATGCTGTATTACGAGTGCCTGAAAAATGTAACTAAAATTTGGCGCAACAACCCGAAGCCATGAAATGGGTTTGTTTCATATGCTACAAGTAGTATTATTAATATTTTTATATAAATTAGAAACAAAATCTTTGGTTGTAACTACAACTGAAAACTGAATATTTGATTATGTACTTTGTGCAGGTTTTAATTGTATTCTATTTTTGCCATTTGTTCTTTTGATTTCTCTAAACTGAATTAATGGGAATTATGGATACGGTTCAAATAGCCTGCCTGCTGCACCAACGTCTAGTGTTAAATACATGTACATCCATATGTTTATATAAATTATCACAGTAAAATAAATAGAATTATATATTTCGTAAATATTGTTGTGTTGCTCGGAATTAACTAAAGAGACGCCTCATTGTATTGGCTCCAAGTATTTCTTTATAAATAATACTTTTGCATTGAGATTACTTTTGGTCGTTGAGCCTTGCATAAATGTATTCGTTAGTTGATCGTTTATTTAATTGCTGAATGAAGAAGATTATTTTTTCCCTGGATGACTTTGCATTTAATGATGAAAGAAAGAATTGTTTAAGGTAGAGGTAGTTTAATGTAGTCATTAATGACATGTAGCTGGATGGTTATGGGCTGAGCTTGGTGTACATTTATCAAATACCAATACATATTCATCCACGGTCATGTTATTTTTCAATTTAAATGTTAAAATGTTCAAACTTTAGATACCTCAAACTCGCTACTTTTACAAAGTAATTCGCTACATTTACAAAGTAAGTTCGTACATCGATGGGACCCTTCACAAATTAACGAGTCAAGTATAACGAATGGAAGCAACGAGTGCACTTTTTCGCTTACAAATAAACGAATAACTCGTTGCGACTTGCTCGTTATATTTACAAATGTCCCTCGTTACATTTAAAAAGCAACGAGTGTTTTAAATTTTGTTACGAATACATTCGAGCAAGGCTCTGTTCTTCAATTGATCAAAGTTATATCTATGAACTGCTATATTACTGTTGTTGTTGTTATTTTTGTTGTTGTTGTTCTTGGTGTGCTCTATGTTTGTGTGTGTTGAGTTTATGGAAGATACGATAGTCATAGTCCACATTTTGGCAAAACTGTTGAACATGGTTTGTGTTGTGTGTGTGTGTGTGTGTATGTGAGTGTGTGTGAGTGTGTTTCTTTTGTGGTCTACTGGTTCAGCAGCGTATTGGTCACCTCCGAGAAGGAGAGCAGTGGACTACCATCCAGATAGGCACCAGCAGCAGCAAGACTCGATGTTGGCGGTGGCGCATAAGCCAAGGCCGTATGCGCCGTTATATTTGCCGGATATAGAAGATGCTGGGCATGATGTTGTTGTTGTTGTTGGTAATTTTGTTGATGTTGCTGCTGCTGCTGCTGCTGTTGTTGTTGTTGCTGTTGTAGATGTTGCTGTTGTAGCTTGGCTGCTTTGCGTGCGCTGCGTGCAACAGAGCTCGATGTGGAGCTGATCTGTGCCTCACCGCTGCTGTTGCTGTTGGTATTGTTGTTGTTGGTGTTGCTATTGTTGTTGTTGTTGAGCGCCTGCAGCGAGTCATCGGCACAAATGATGAGCGGAGGTATGGCTGTTGCTGGTCCGACAGCCACCAGCTGCTGATAGGGCGAGACGGCATCAGTTGAGTTGGCGCACAGCAAGCTGCTGACAGCTGGCAAAGTGGGTGGCGGTGGTGGTGGTGAATCCACCTGATGATGATGCAGCTGATAAGCAGCTAGTTGTTGTTGCTGCTGCTGCTGCTGTTGCTGCAGCTGGTTGCTGATTAGAATCTAGGTAGGGGAGTGGAGTTCGGTTAGTCGGGCGTTAGCACTCGGTGGTGCACTAGTGGTGTGTGTTTAGTGTGTGTGTGTGTGTAGGTTTAAGAGGTGTGGTTGTGGTTGTGGCTGTGTACTTTGAAGTGGTGCGTCTACAGTGCGTACTAATTGCTTATTGTTTTTAGCTTTGATTTGCTTTTTTTTTGTTTTTTTTTTTTTGTTTTTTAGCGGCTTGCCGTGTGCTGGCCGGGATGGTGGTGCAGGTGATGGTGATGTGGCGTGGCTGGCGTGGTTGCAGCTGCTGCCGCTGCGGCCGCGTGATGGTGATGGTGGTGGTGCGGATGGTGGTGATGGTGATGATGGTGATATGCTAAATACTGCGAGTATTGCGTGTAGCTGGCCGGCGACCATACCTCGCTGCCATTTGGCGTTGCTGCCGCCGCTGCTGCTGCTGCTGCCGCCGACGCTGATTGTTGCTGATGCAAATGCTGATGGGCAGCACTGGCTGCATCTTGCTGATGGTGCTGTTGTTGCTGCTGTTGCTGATGGTGCTGTTGTTGTTGTTGTTGTTGTTGATGTGGATGATGTTGATGTGGATGCTGATGTGGATGTGAATGTGGTTGATGATGGTGCTGCGTGTGTGCATGTGGATGAGGAGCGTGATGACTGTGCGGCTGCTGCTGCTGCTGCTGTTGTTGCTGCTGTTGCTGCTGCTGCTGCTGTTGCTGGTGGCTGTTGGCTGCACAGCTGGGCGGCTGTTGTGGGTGTGGCTGCAACGTGGTGTGCTCAGTGCCGCTAACAGGGTGCTGGCTTACACTATTGCTTGAATTGCTAACATTGGAGCCCAAGCCACGCGCGGAATGTGGTTGCTGCTGTTGCTGCTGCTGCTGCTGCTGTGGCGATGTGGTGTGCGAGGAGGCCGAGTAGAGACCAGAGTCATCGTGCTGCAGCTGATAGCTTTCCGGTGTGCCGGCGCTCGTTGATTTGCCCGTCAGCTCCTTGGTGCCATTCCATTTGGCAGCCGCTGCTGCTGGCTCGTGCTCATTGTTGTTGTTGTTGTTGGTGTAGCTGAGACCGTTGGTGAGTGGCGTTGTGCGCTGTGGTGAGCCACCGCCACTGCTGACCGCAATGCGACTGTTCAGTGGCACACCACTCGACTGAGTGGTGCCCCACATCAGCACCGTTTGCCGCTCGTACGGATCTTGACTGGCGGCTGCAGCAGCAGCAGCAGCAGCAGCAGCAGCAGCGGCGGCGGACAGCTCTACTTTGGGCGTAACGCTGCTGCCGTTGGGCGGGGCAACAGTGCCAGCTACGGGCGAGGGACCATCCGAGGAGCACGAGATGACCTCCATAACTTGCGGCGATGATTTGGGCGTCTTTAGGGGTACTTGCTAAGGGGAGAAAGACACACAATAGAGAGAGAGAGAGAGAGAGAGAGAGAGAGAGACAGAGAGAGAGGGAGAGAGTGAAAGAGAGAGATAGAGAGAGAGGGAGAGAGTGAAAGAGAGAGAGAGAACAAATTAATTAGATTATACCTTTCACTTTAATTATTTGAAAGTGGTAAGTGCAGCAAGTAAGAATGCTGTAGTCGAGTGAGCGCGACTACGGTATACCCTGAACCAAACTGATAAATTTATTCTAGTTTTATTGCCAAATTTGCCGATTAGAGTTTTGCATAATCAAATGTAAGCAGAACTGCACCTGCTCTCATTTTTAAAATAAATATAGAGTTGCGGTTCAAATAATAGTATGGCTACTGCTCTCAACTCTACAAAAGAAAAAACGTTTGGTTTCTCATCTTTAAATCTTTTATAATACTATTATTTTTCAAATACTAAACGTAGTAAAATATAAAAACCCATCATATCTAGTTTTTATTTATTAATTGAGAAAACTTCAGTATTATTCGACTATTAAAATGAGAAATTCAAATAATAATTTAATAAAAATAAACATAAAAATAAAAAATGCATTTAATTTTTTTTGCTCATAAATTGTACAGCTATGCCTAAGTTCAATGCTAACTTATCTTTAATATTGATTGCTCTTGTTTAAATAAGATGTTCATATTTTTAAAAATATTTTTAAAGTATTTTATTTTAACATTTTCCAAAACATATGTGTGCACTATTATCTTGACGAAGCTGTATATACATATATATATAAACGAAATCATATTTAGCGGGGATCTATAGGATAGACACAAACATATTTATCCCCACGTACAGATTTATTCATACAGAAAATGTTTTTGCCTGCTGATAGAAGTGAGATCAAAATTAGAATCAATTTTCGACAACAATTTTGGTGTTTCTGTCCAGTTGATAATAATAAGATTTATTAATTCCAAGCCTCTGTCTTTAAAATTCTGTATTTTATTTTATTGCTATCGGAAATTGAAATGTATCGATATTCAAGAAACGACTGCAGTTATCGATAAAATGCAGCAAACTTGTTCTGCCTATGAGAACTTATATTCCAAATTCGACTCGGCTGTTGAAACAGTTATACGTATATATATATATATATATAGTATATTTCATTCTGTCTGTTGCATACATTTGCTCAAAACCAATATACCTCTTTTATGGGTTCAGGGAATAAAGGAACTAGAAACTAGCTGCTGAATGTAACCTAAAAGATTTCAATTAAGATTTCCACCTTTGCAGATTTGTGGTAGACTCACCTGTGGCGTGGATGTTGGACTGCCGTATCCGCTGCTATAGCCGCTGTAGTATTTGCCCGTCTCCTGCCACTTTTCGTCCGCCTTGGAGGCGATGGCATAGCCGTCGTAGGAGAGGAAGCCGTTCGCCACATACGCCGAGGCTGGGGCGCCCGTATGTGGATAATCTGTGTAGTAGCCGCCGACGCCGACGGCGCCCTGCAGCCGATACTGATGGAAGAGATTCTCGCTGACGGGATAGAAGGCATTGGCCGGCATGGAGCTGCCCATGTACAAGTTGTCCGCTGCTGTCGCATACGGCGACGTTGTGTACATGGGATTCAGATTGGAGTAGGCGGCCGCAACGGCAGCCGCCGGATCGGGCAGGTATTCGACGACAGCTGGCGCCGGCGAGCCGACCTGTGCCAGTGGCGACGATTGCTGTGCATGGAGCTGTTGTTGCTGCTGTTGCTGCTGCTGCTGCTGCTGTTGCAGTTTGCGCTTGCTGCGGCACGTGGACAGAAAGTCGCGCAACTGCGTCTTGTAGCGTCGATTGGGTCGCGTTGGCGTCACCGGCGGTGGCAGAGCGTGCGCTGTCGGCGACACACTGGCACTGGTCGGCGGCACCACCAACTGATCCGCTTCGGAGAAGTATGTCGATGCCAGACCGGTGTCCAGATAGCTGACCTTAAAGTCCATCGTCCGCTTGCCGAGCAGATCGTGACCCTCCTCGTCCATCAGCTGGCGATGCGTGCAGATGACAAAGTCCGGCTTGGAGTTCTTGTACACCAGCCGCGAGCTGGTCTGCAGCCACTGCCACTCGCCGTCCTTCTTCTGATACCGATACGCAATCATGCCCGAGGCTCCCGTCTTCAGCACTGCAATGGAAGATGTGTTCGATACAATTCGTGTACAAGTCGTGGATTTCTTCTGGTTTACTTACGCTCCTGATGTGCACTGGCCACGTAGGCGAGGTCATCGTAGTGCACGAGATCGTAGCCACCCATGTTGACCAGCTCGGTGTCGGCATAGCCCAGTATGTGTTTGCCCCGCTGATCCATGGACACCAGCGAGAAGTCGAGCTTGTGCTTTGACTTGAACATGTTCTCCTTGTGCGGTATTTCCAGCAGACTGGGCGGTCCGAAGGGTGTGCAGTAGGCGAACAGTGCCAGCGGGGGTTCCTCCGTTTTGCGATTCTGGCCATGCAGAATCTTGATGCGACCGCGTATGTCCAGGCGCAGGAAACCGGATGTGTTGTCCAGCAGGCAGCGGAAGCGCACCGTAAAGCTGCGCTCCAAGTAGAGCGCCTTATCCGGGGCCAGAGTCTCCGACAGCTGCATGCTGGACATGTCTGCGGGCAGGAAACTGTTCCACAGCAGCTGACGCTGCAGCTCCTCGCGATCCTCCGAGTGGACCAGCTCGTACACAGACTGATGCACAATGTCCGACTGCAATGTGGCAGAGAGTGGAGAGTAGTGGTTGAGGTCAGTTGAGTTTAGGCTCTGGTTTATATCTGGTCTTGTTATTTGCGTTGGGGTTCAGTCAACTTTGTTATTGATTTTCGCTTTCGCTACAGTTTCGGGTTTTTGGATTTGTTTGCTTTGTATTTGTATTCATTTTTCTTTTCCTGTTTATTTGTTGTTTTTTTTTTTTTGGGCGTATAAATCAAAATGCGCGCAAATTGAAAATGCGCCCCATGTTGGCCACAAATTGAGACATAAATTCTGCACGCGCCGGGAACAAGGATAAGAACAAGATCGGGGGAACAGCTAAGCGAGTGCAGTACACGCTGGAGATGGGGACACGAACCAAAAACACGAATTCGAAAACAGCAAAAGCACACGTGAGCAGGAAATTGAGCGAGAAATGCATGAGATGAGTTTGTTAAGTGAAAATTGTGTTCAGGTCGTGTAGAAAATGCATTTGGATCGTGTTCTTTTGTGTTGGCTGGTGTCGGCCTTGGTTGGGTTGTATTTGGGTTGTCTTCAGTCTGCGTGAGTCGTGTTCAGGTTGGTTGCTCTGGCTAGATTTCTAAGCGGCCACATTAAGTTAAACAAAGTTGCATTGCGGTCGTGATTTCGAGCTGCTTTGCTCAATCACGAATCCACATTGTCGTGTAACATTAGTCAGCAGTTCGTGTCACGACTGAACATGTGTATGGCTAATAGGCACGCGTTCAACTCTAGCACAAGCCCTACAAATCAAGAAGGAGCTGAAGGAGGCAACAATGAGGGGCAGGCAGCGCCTCGCAAAACTTTCTACGTGTTGCGCGAAAAACCAACAAAGCAAATGATTTGACCGCAATCTCAATTGGAATATACTTGAATATGCTTGAATAAGAAGAAGCAGCGAGCAGCAAGCAGCGAGCAGCGAGCTGCGAGCAATAAGCAATCCAATGGCCAATGGCCATGGTAATAGGCAGCTACGCTTTTTAATTGAGCTGCCAAACGGGGCGTGTCAAATGCCGCTTTACACATTTACAACTAAATTAAAATGAGGAGCAACCAGATAGACAGAGCGAGAGAGCGCCCGAGAGCCAGGGGAGACAACAGGGAGGGGGGGACAGAGTCGAGATGGGCAGCTCAAAGAGTAGAGGCCTTTGCTGAAGAAAGCTAACTGCAATTTTCAATTTCCATTCGACAAGCGCCAATACAATAAAGTAGGCAAAAAATAACAGAAATAAAAACCAAACAAAACAAATATAAAAAAAACAGGCCAACGCAGGGGCGGCCAACTCCGGGTGAGTTGAGGAGGAAAAGAGAGGGGGACGGGGGGAGGGGGGGAGGCGTGGTTGCAGTCAGTTGCAGGTAGTCGAGGGGCAGCCACTGGCGCGTCAGACTCCTCGAGTTAGGCCCAAAACATGTTGGCCCGTTTGGGGGCAGTTGGTCGCACACAGCTGCCGAGGCGTCGCAAGTTAATAATACGCGCTCCTCAACATTGCCACGCCCCATTCAAGAGTAGCCACTCCACAGCCCCCCGCTCTCCGCACTCCCTGGCTGCCGCCTTTGACAGCTGCGTAAGCAAATCTTGTGGCATTGTGGAATTGTGGCATTCGCGATTGCGCAATCCTCACGCTGATCTGATTTTTATTTATGGCCACAGTGCCTGCCATGCAACGTGCAACGTGCTACGTTTGCTGGCTTGCCTCGGCATTCGCCTGCATCTGCTATGCGGCACCTTCATCATTTTTGTTTGTTTATTTTTTGTCTCTGCTCTCGCTTGCCTTAACTTATTGGGTATATTGAACCATGTCGATATGTTGTCTGTCTATATACAAATATTTAAATTTTGAAATATTCTAAAACTAAAGTAGTAATAAGAGTCTCAAAATTTTAAATCAATGATTTTCTTGAAAAAGTGACTCAACGTTTTTATTGTTGAAGCAAGTTTAAAGCATATTTCATGTTTGGAATCCACGTTTAATTTAAGGACATATACATATATTATTTAATTGTTTAAAAAATCAGTTAAATCCATTTCTTGTTATTTATTGTTTTTTTGATATGCATATTAATATTTGAGTGACCCATTTTCAGCATTTATTATAATTACATAGAGAATATGGTATCTCTGAGTCTTGCTTCGTGCTCATATATGAATAAACAAGTATTGGTATTATCGGCTACAGAATACAACCCAGTCAAGCATTAGCTGGCAACCGTTTTAGAAATACTTTAATATGAAAAAGCTGGTTGTTGGAAGCTGAATTTGGTAAGGCTGTACTTTAACCCATTTCCGCCAATGAGCTTGACCCAAAAAAAACCAAAAAGGAGGAAGACAAGCTGTCATTCATAGAAACTCTCTCGACTCTGCTGCCGGCAATTAAAATCAATCAAAAAGATGCAGAGAACCCCAACCACCCGAATTATTATATGTGGTTGTTGTTGCTATTATTGTTGTTGTTGTTGTTTTTGTTGTTGTTGTCCACTTACCTGATGAAAACCCAAATAGCTCTCGATGCTGTGCGTGGCAAAGAAGACCTCGCCTTCGCATGTCAGTATCATTAGAAATCCATTTAGAGCCTGCAAGAACAAAAAAGCAAACACAAACCGTGTGTGAGTGAGTAAGACAGAGACAGAGACACAAAGAGAGACAGAGAGAGAGAGAGAGAAAGACAAAAATTAAATCAAAACTACGAATTAAATGTTGCAATAGAGCTTGGGGAGGCAGCAGAGGGACTATGCTGTCAAATTGACAAGCTAAACATTACAGCCATAAAATCGATACAAAGAAAGAAAGCAACATAGAGAAAGATAGAGGGAGATAGAGATATAGAGAGAGAGAGAGAGAGGGATAGAGATAGAGATAGAGGAATTGATAGAGGCTGAAACGTCTCGTAATTGTAGTAGCTGCCGGTTTTTTGATGTTTTGTGAATGGATTAATCCATCATTTCGCGGTCTATATATAGCCCACAAACTGTGCATGAATGAACCACAGGCAGACAGAGAGACAGACAGACAGACAGATAGATAGACAGAAAGACAGAGCAGACGGTCAGAGCGAGAAATGAGGGTCAAAGACAGCGGCGCTAACTTGAGGCTAAAACGTAATCAGCGCTTAAGCGGGCTCATTTCATTGGAGCCAAAGACTTCTCAGTCACAGATAGCAGCTCAGAAAGAGACAGAGAGAGAGAGAGAGAGTGCGACAGGGACGGAGAACTGGCGACAGAGGGGTAACTTTGAAGTTCCACATCAAATTCAACCAGGAAATGATGCGCAATTAAATCAATGAGTTTCAACTAAATGCAGACGCTGAATCCGTTGCCCAAGTCCGGTAACAGCATTTGTTTTACCTTACAAAAGTATTTAAGTATTATCCATTCCCCCATCCCGTTCTCTGCCACTCTCATTCAGTTATTGTTCTTGTTTTTGTTGTTGTTGTTTAATTGCAGGTTTCATTTTGAGCAATGATGCATTGTAATTATCTATGGATTGTTTCGGTGAGCACACAACAAAAACCCAAACTTATTGCTTGGGGTGTATGCATAATATGCCGAAACTCGAATTGCAAAACTTTTTTTTTTTTGCTTGTAAATGAAATAATTTGTTTGATTCGCATTCATACTTTTCAGTTAGTTGTAGCTTTATTGTTTTATATTTGATTTTCATAAGCTGCTAATGGTCGCTACGCATGCAATTTTATAACATGGAACCTGAATTTGAGTGCCTAGCGGCAACAAGCAGTAATACTAACCAACAGCATATTGCCGTCGCACACTGACCTTTTATTTTATTAATTAATTATTTAGGATATAAAAGAACCAATTAAAAAGAAACGCAACATGATGGCGCTTTTAAGGCATCATAAAATCTAATGTTTGCGCTTGTTTTGTTAAAGTATATATATTAAAATACATTTTTGAAAATGAAAAGATTTAATGAAAGAATCTACTTAAATATTGTGATATATAAATATATGATATTAACGAAATTAATTCAATTACTTTAATCTATTTTTAAGGGATAGTAAAACACGAGAATATAACGGATATACTTCACTTCCCATACGCATTTATTAATATCAGACTGTTCTCTATGATTTTAACTAGCCTTCAAGATATAATAAACTTTTACGTTTCCTTTCTGATCTGGATAAGATTTTTACAGTTTATAATTTTTATACAACCGCATATTTAAAACTAAATTACAAAATTATTTTTGATATTTGCAAAGCTTTGGGCGCTGTAGATATGATGAGAATAGTATACAAGAACTGAGATTTTCAATTTGAAGTCTCTAGTTCTTATTGTCTGTGTGATTAACTTGTTCATACAGACGGATATGGGCTTTAGATCCTGATTAAAATTATATATACCTTTTGTTTCCTTCTGCCTGTTACATACTTTCGAACAAGATCATTAAACACGTTTTTTTTTTTTAATTTTTCAATGGGTTCAGCGTATAAAAAGCCATAAAATTCAAATAAAAATGTTTGTTACTCCATTCGAAACATTTAAAAATCAATGGGTCAGTTTCGCAACGTGTGAAATGTGTGTGTGCCACATGTGGCTTAAGAAGACAAATTTGCCCTGGCTATCATTAGTGTTCAGGGGACGGTTCTGCGTTAATTAATCCAGAGAAAGAGAGGGACTAAGTGTGTGAGTGTGTGTGTGAGTGAGAGAGAGAGAGGGAACAAACTGTAATTCATATGCGCGTATTTGAATATCAATTTGCAACACAGATATGGATGAGGAGCAGACCAGCAGCAGCAGCACCAGCAGCAGGAGTAGCACAAGAAACATCAACAACAAGAACAACAAGTTCTTCCCGAGCCTTTCAGTTGGTTGAGGTTGAGACAAATGTGCGCGATTGCTGCTAATTACAGAGTAGGGCAGCGAAAAAAAAACAAGGCACAAGGAGCTGGACCTGGTGGATGTAGCTGGAGTGTTTCGAGAGTTGGTATTAACCGACATAAACGCTAAGTGGCGTCATCATTTAAAACGCATCAACACAGCCCGCCAAAGGATATGGATATTAATATGGATGTGGATATGAGTGCTTAATATGGAACGAGAATTGGAATCACAGTTGTGGTGTTGTTTTCTGGTCTCTATATGGAGAATGTCATCAAGCCGGCAGCGGCAGCGCATCAATAATCTTCATAAAGACTGCCAACGGTAGCAAGGTGCGAGAGACAACGAGAGGAAATGAAAGACAGAGAGAGACAGAGTGAGAGAGAGAGAGAGAGAGAGAGAGAGAGAGAGAGAGAGAGAGAGAGAGAGAGAGAGAGAGAGTGGGAAAGATAGAGTGATAGAGCTAGATCGACATAGAGGATAAAAATAGGGCAGAACCAGTGAAAATCTAGAGGCTTTTGATTTGTTTCTCACAATTTTCTGTCTCAGTTTTAGTAATTTTTGGGTATTTAGAAAACTTATATTATATTTTTAAGTAAATGTGATATTAAGTTTTTCTCATTTTTAGAAATAAATTCTAAGTATAGGAAACAAACTTTCTAAAAACTAGGGAGTCTTGACCTAAATCGACGAAAAGTATTTTGTTTTTTATATTTATATTTTTTTTTTAAATTTGCTATCATTAAGAAATGTATCTCTAAAGAGTAGAAATGCAAACCCTCGTTTTTTCTTAACTGTCCAAAATACATTAATAAATAAATTATATGAATTTATAGTCTGTCTAAAATTTATGTACTTGTGAAATCTTAACAATCCAATATTTATTAATAAGAATATAAAAAAAGAACCTTAAAACTAGACAACATATTTTCTGCATTTCAGAAAACGTACTCTGAAATTAGGAAAAGAAAATCCCTGGTTTTTAGAAATATACATTCTGAATAATAAGGTGAGAGGAACGCTTGGCGAAATAATGTGGATACTTGAAAAGATGTTGAAGCGAAGAAATTTATCTGTAGGTTTGTAGTTTTATTTTCCAATCTCAAGAAATGATATGAAGAAAGCATAATTTATATGTAAAACATTTTTAACATACGTTTAATAAACTTCATAATGCTATAGAGTATCTGTTAGTTGTTCACTTTTGAATGAGCTTAATTCATTTCTGTTCAAGATTTCTTCTCTTTGCTGCATAATTATTTTAGCTGCCTCCCGCTCTCTGCCTCACTAAGCCCCTCAGTCTCTGTCTATCTCTCTCTCTCGCTCTGTCTATATCTGTCTGTGCATCAGTTTATACGAGGCAACTGTCCGAGTTGTCCGAAACTGTTGATGTGCTCTCGGCGGCTCTTCTAATGCGTTTTTAATAATACACGCCCGTCTTGTGCGGCAGAGTCGAGAGTCGAGAGTCGACAGCCGTGACTTTTATTGCTACAAGCCAAATTTAATACTTATATACTTTATATAAACATTTTTTCTTTTCTTTTTTTTTTTTGGTTTGCCTTTCTTGTTGTTGTTGTCTGCAGCATCTATCTAACCATTGAGTTGATTGTCGGCCTGCATTACAGTTTTGTGTGTTGATAAGTTGGCAGTGATTATTTTATCATTTCCTTGGCAAAGACCTCTGCAGACCAGCTTCAGCTTGTTGGCCAGCTTCAGCTTGTCGCTTGACTATGCCAGCTGTATGCTAGTTTTAGCCAATTTGCTGTTATGTGGCATGTAATTGCTTAATAAACCCGCTGATGCTTGAGGATGCTGCATGTGGCACACAAATTATGTCTTTCTTTTTTCCTAGAGACTATTATTTATATATACATATTTATACATACATATTTATTTCGCATCTATCTGTTGCTGTTGTCTGTCTTAAATCAATGTCTTTATTTGGATATGTATTATTTTTTATCAATTAAGCCACTTTCCGAGCCACTTGCTAATGTGTGTCAACAGTGGCTGCAAAACTGTTGCAAATGTGGAGCAACAGCAACGGCAACGGCAACTGAAATGGCAGCACTGAGTCCAACATCAAGCCGTGTGTGCGAGCGAAATGGCTACTTATGCATGAAGTACGCTGCGTGACAAAACGCCATTTTCTAATGATAATATGTGACCCATAATAAACAACAACAAAAACAACAACAAAAACCAACAACAAGTAAAACTTCATGAGCAATTGAAACGGGCAACAGGTAACAAATACCTGAGCTATTAAAACTAAATATGCAGCCCCCAAAACCCGAACCCGTACCCGTACCAAACCCAAACCCAAACCCAACTCAGTTTCACTCTCCCCTCTTTCTGCGCACGGCGTGTCTCAAAAATATGCACGGAAATGCACAATTGTGCAGCTCGGCAATTAGTTGCACTTCGCCCATTCACCGGAAGGCAAAACAAAAAAAAAAAACAAAAAAAATGAAAAACAAGAAACAAGCAACAAGCTCGAAATGTGAAAAAAAAACTTGTTTTTGGCTTGCATTCAAATTGCAAAAGTCGTGCAAGGAGACACTCGAGTCGTGTGTGTTGTGTTTTGTGTGTGAGTCCTTGTTATGGTGTCCTGTTTGGCTGTTGCACACCCTGCGTATACGTAATGCATCTGCACGTTGCGCCACCAGCTGCAACGGTGCATTGTGTGCAGTTTTTGCTTGAGACAGTGGCGAGTTTCACACTTTTTGCGAGAGGGGCTTTAGAGTGTTGAGTTTTTAGAGAAAATATATTGTTTTTTCAGGAATAAGCTATAAGCAAAAAAAATATATTATATGTCTACAGCTTACAGCATGCAACAAAATATGTTTTAAAAAAATTAGCTCGGGTTGACTGAATGCAAAGAACCAATAAATCTATGCTGTTGAATGGATTTGCGAGAGGAATTCGTGTGGATTTGAAATATAGTGTAGATTTTAAACACGGCGCAAAGCAAACAATCTAGTTAGATGAAAATTATTCGAAAATTGCTGTATTTCAGACACAGATATAATTTTTTTAATTTCTAAAGATTTATATGCAGATTTAAAGGAAAAAATATTTGCAAATGGATAAGCGAAAATGGAATTTTCTTTTTCTTTTTCTTGCCTTAAAACATAGCTAACAAGTGTAAATTTTGAGTGCTGATAACTTTGGGCAGTTTTAGACTTTGACATTGAATTTTAGGCTACGACCTACAAAATAGCAATATAAGGAAAACAACGACAATAACAACAACAACAGAAACTGAAACAGAAACAATACAAAAGAATTGCATTAAGCGCATGTTGCACAATTGCGTGCCTCCGACTCTTTGTTACCCCCATCAATTGGCTACTGTCTAGCGTTGCATACCCTGCGGTCCCCTCTATGCCCCCTGTCCAACCCGTGTACTGTGTACTGTGCTTGGTGAGCTATGTGTGCATTAAATTAAACTGTCATGACTGTGACAAGTGCATATGTTCGCGCCTGGCCAGCAACTGCAGCAAACTGCTGCCCACAAATGTGCTTTAATTCAGCAAAAACATGCAACTTGCACACTTACCACACACAGGTGTGTGTTTGTATGTGTGTGTGTGTGTATGTGCGAGACAATTTAATTGAAGTTTGACCAATTCAGCGCGTGGCACATAAACTTGAAATGCATAATTTGAGCTGATAGCTTAGCTGGCTGGCTGGTTAGCTGGTGTTGTAGGTTGGCCAGCTCAACTGGCCGAAATTAATTATAAATATTATGGTAACACATGTCCGAGCGCCAATTATACATTAATCAATTGACAAGGAAAGCAACAGCAACCGCAACAGCAACAGCAACAATAACAACAAGACTTAAACTAATTGCACTCAATTGTTGAACAATTTTCCACATTTACACAGAAAATCACAAATCGAAGCGCTTCGAACTTTGCGTGTTTCGAATAAACTTTTATCTGTGTATAAGGGGCTCTATGCGATATATATATATATGTATCAACCCACCTCAACTCTCTCTCTCTCCCAGTCGCTGTCTCTCAACAAGCGCTGATTGATTATGCGGCTGCCTGGCGCGGCATATCCTGCCGATGAAGCCATCAAATGGCCAAACAAATTGATGAAGACAAATTAACCCAAGGCAACCAGAGGCAGGGTGAGTATTGATGGATGTGTAGAGGGTTGTGGGTGGTGGATGGTGGGGGATTACTCACCTGCAGGAACATATCACCATCCAGCAGGCCGTGCTCGAAGGCGCCCAGCTCGCGGGTCCTGTAGCCATCGTGTGCGTGTATGTGCGGCAGGACACCGTTCTCCTCCTTATCCTTATGCATAACAACTGCGGCGAGAAAGAGACAGAAAAACAAAGAGATAGATAGAGAGACAGATGGAGAGACATTTGGAGAGCACAGCTTAAATATTTATGAAGCCCGACATTTTATATTTTATTAGCCATTAATATTTTACTTGCAATGGCGCTCGAAATTGCGACTCATAAATAACTCGCTCAAAACGTTTTACAGCCCCAGTTCAGCCACCCTCCCCCCTCAGCAATTTGAAACCATAGTTACTTCATAAAAAATCCAATATAGCTATGTATTTATATATATATATAGTAGGACCATAATATACAATAAATATTTACAGCTGGCATGGAAAAGTACTAAAAATTGTTTATGGTGTCATTGTAATATTTTATGAGCCAACTTGCCAGACCCCCATCCTCCCCTCCCTCCACAACCCCCACCAGAAACCCCAGCGCCTGGCACTGCCTTCCATAAGCTATACACCCCCTCCACACACACCCCTTACAAACACCCTTACGGCATTTCGCCGCCATTTTTGAAGCAATATTTTTGGTTTTTCTTTTTTCTTCTTCGAGGGGGGTTTTTTTTTCTCTTGTGCGCCTCAAGTTTTATAATAAATTTGTCACAAAAATTGATTTATGCGCGATAAACGATAAAAAAGAACACACACAAAATGAGAGCTCGAACTAGAGCTAATATATATTAACAGCACTCGGTTTCAGTTTTGTCTTTGGACTTAGCTCCGAATTTCATAAGCAAATTTATATGCGGCTTGAAATAAAATATGCCTTGGCGTCTGATGTCATAAATTATGATTTTTATCAGCGCAAATGGAAATAATAAAAATGAGAATAAAATAAAAACAAAAAAAAAAAACAACTGAGAAAAAAAGCATAATGAATAAGAACTAAAACCTAATTTACGCATGGCAAAGCCCAACAACAACTAACTGCAAGTATAAAACACCCAGCAACCCTCGAGCAACAACAATAATAATAACTACAACAGTGGCAGGGACTACAGCAACCACAGCCCAGTCACAGGGTCTCTCATTTCAATTAGCAGCTCCAAAAATGCGGCCTACCCCTAACTCTACAGCTACACTGTGAAAAATATTAAAGTTCACTGAGTTTTCATGTACATTAACAAATTTTCTGGATTTTAAGTTAAAATTTAAGACTGCAATTGCATAGAATAGCACTCGAAATTGAAGTAGTTTTGGAAGTGCCTATTTAATTTATTTAATGTTTATTTATTTATTTTATTTTAAGCAAGCTGTTCACTCAAGTTGTGATAAGCATTTAAATTCCAAAAATTCTAAATCAAGTACGTGCTAATGTGCTTTATTTGGAGTTAACTTGTTTTGTTTTATATTTTTTGCTAGCTCGACGACGGGATTCCAATATACTTGAGTAAAAATAAAAATAGACCAGCTGGAGCCATGAAAAATATATATATTTTAACTGTTCTTTTTACTTTAATTAATTTATTATTATTTTCGGGAGCCTATCTTGATTGATATTTGTGTCGCCTTTAAAATAAATTTAGATTTCTAACTGCTCAAAACACTTTAATACAAATTACTTTTTTGACTTTCTTAATAGGCATGCTAATTTTTGTGAGTGTACTGAGGTTTGGCCTTTCCCTGACTTGACTTGACTTGGTTTGGCTCTTTTTCTGGCTAATCTGTGCGCTGCTTTAGCTTTTTATCAAATTAACAAAAGTGCCGCTGCGTGTGTGAGTGTGTTCGTTCTGGTGTGTGTTTGTGTTTGTGTGTGTGTGTGTGTGTGTGTGTGTTAGAGTGTTCATTTTAGCGAAAGTGCGATAAAACAAATAGTTGAGCCTCCGAGTGGTAGACCAGCCGTGCCCCTACCCCAATGCTGGTCAACGTAATGTGGCCAAAACAAATTGCATCATGTGCGTGCGATGCCTTTGCTTTTGGTTGACTTGGCTTGTGGCAAGGCTTTTAGAGCAACATTTTGGACGTAATTATTCATAATTTAATTAGGCTCAGTTTACATTGCGACTGGTTGTAGTTCTTACTTATATTACAGTTACACTTTTTATTTTATTGTTTAGCTTTTCTTTTTCTTTTTTTTATTGTTGCGCCAGAATTATTATTCACGTGCATAACCACATTTAATTAAGCTCAACTTTGACCAGCGGATGGAAGGAGCATTGTGTGGCGTTGAGGAGGGAGGAGCACAACAAATCTGCGGCAATTTCTGGGCGTGCTTCGTGTTTTAATTGCATTTATGCGTAGCTGATTAGCATAAACCAAATTGACGACATCACTCAAAAATGTATTCGCAATTTGAAAGTGCTTGGGCGACCCTCGCGCTTAGAAAATGCGCCACATAAACCGAAAAAATCCACCACCAGAGAAACTCCTTGTTGCGTTGTTGGTGGATGAACGTAAATCTTGTAAAGGCGGAAAAGCGCAAAATCTCAGCCAGCTGCATGCGGGCCCAGGGGAGGACTACGACAGGGCAGGGCAGGGCGGAGCGCGGTGGCGCGGGGTGGTGCGGTGAACACACATAAAAATGGCGGCAGCTGGCTAAGCCACAAAATCCCACCCAACAAACGTAAGCCAGCAAATAAAGCAGCAAGTAAAGCAGAAGCAGAAGCAGAAGAAGAAGACGAACAAGAAGAGGAAGAGGAAGAGGAAGCAGTGTCGGAAAAGCAGCATTGGAAAAGCGTGCGCAGACGAACTGCAAGATACACGCCGGCAGCGACGTCAGCGGCGACGTCAGCGGCGACGCTCGCCGATGCGCCCCTGTGCAAAATGGCGTCAATTATGCGCTGGGCTGCGATTTGGGCGTGTCCCATCCAACTTCTGACAAGCAAAAAGCAAAAAGAGCTAACTAACTGATGAAAAATGCTAGATTTTATTTTAGACAATGCTGAGAATTATTTGAATATTTGCCGTTGACTCATCTTGGTCTTTCAGCCGTAAATGCATATTTAAAATGAAATAGATTTGAAGGGGAAAAAAGGCGATATTGGCAACACTGGTCGCACTTGGCACGGCATGGCGCAAACAATGAGTAAAGTTTAAATTCTGACATTTTGGCAAATATTATTCGTGCTCACAAGCAAATATGTCATGGAAATGTCAAACTCATCAGTCCAATTGATGGAAAAACTGACAGCACAAACATGCTGGGCACTGTCTACTGGCTACAGAAGGGCAACGAGGAGGGGCAGCGGGAAAGTTAATAATGGCTATGCAGTTGGTGCAAATGCCTTACTTAAATGCCAAATATTGCACGCTTACTGCATTTACCATACAGAAATTGCACAATTTCATTAAATTTTAAGGAAAGAATTACACAACTAATTATAATCATTAGAAGCAGACATCTCTGATTCTATACAGATTAAAATATCAATTAACTAAATGAGATATTTAAAAAGTCAATGCAATTATTTGTGCATATTTTAAAAGCTTGGACAAATTCATATATATATATCTATATATATATATATATTGTAGTAAATCCATATGGTTCTCATTCAAACGAAAAAATATTGTTAAATTCATTTTGGATTTTCAACTAAAATCGAATGGAAAAAGGCTCTTTAACATTTGTGACAATGGCGTTTATTGATTTAGCTTAAAGCCAATTAGAATGGCAAGTCCTTAAGCGCTTTAAATTGAACTAGGCCTTTAGATAGAGTACCTGTTGTTGTTCCGCATGCCAATGGGTAGGAAGGAGGTGTGGAGTATCGAGGGAGGATGGGGTTGCTGTTCGACCTACGTAAGTCACGCAATGTTGTCTGCTGCATGCTCTCTCCCGCTCTCTCTCTCTCTCTCTTTCTCTCTCTCTCTCTCTCTCTCTCTATGTCTCTCTCTCTGTTGCTGGGCTCAACTCTTTTGCAGCGACGTGACAATACAAGGCGTCAGGCAACAATAACAACTTGCAGCAAACAACTAACATCAACACTAGGCGGCCTAAGCTCGCTCGAAGGTAGGACGACAGTGGTGGTTAAAGTGCATCGCCTGACTGATTGCATGTCCGCCTGCGCCTCTTGTCGTCATTTCCCAACAATTGTCTGACTATGGTTTCTACAACACCCCCACTAGACCCTCCCCTCCGCTCCTCCTCCGAACCAACTTGCTTCTACTGCCCGCTGCTAATGGGCCTAAACTGGAGCAACGCACGAAAGTCATGTATATGCACGAAAAATTGGCTACTACAAACATATATACATATATACAACATACATACATATATATGTATGGAGGCAGGGGGGGGGGGGGGACTTAGTATGTTTATAGGTTAAGAGCTGAGCCTTGGCCCCAGGGGCATGCGATTCGCATAGCACATGGCCATGGGCTCCATTAACAAACGCTTAACAGTAATTTTGATAATAGCATAAATGCCAGACCCCAAGCAATCCCCACTCCCCTTCCCCCCAATTGCCAAGTGACCTTGTTAGCATAACAGTTGGAAGGGGATGGAGTGGGGGGTGTAGGTGTCTCTTGTTGTGTTCCCAAAGCACATGTGTCGCATGTGCGCAATGCACCAACTCTTGTAATACGCTTAGAGTTGCCACACGACGCCAATTGCAATTCGCTTCCCACGAGACCAGAGCCTAGAGAGAACTAGATCTTAAGGCAACAAAATTAAACCCGTCGCAAGCGAAGTAGTTCCAACATGATTTGCTGCCTCGCTGAAAAAACAACAACAAAATGTAAAAAACCAAATCATATTTTAATCATGTGTGGGAACTCTGGTTGGCAACGAACTGGTTTCGTTCCCATTGCCGGCTCAAATTTCCAAAAGCAGCAAAAGTCAAATGCGAATCACTCCCAAGCAGTCTGTCAGTCTATTCTAATCTCCATTGTTTCCCCTGCTACGATCTTTATATCTAGATTATATTTTGAACAGTTTATGAATGAATTCAATAAATTAAATGTAAATAAAAATGTTTTCACATATTTGAATCTTAGGAAAAATCGATTTGCATTTCAGCGAAGAATCTTTTCAAGCATTGAATATTGTTAGAAGAGTTGAAAAAGAACTGAAACATTTAAAATATGAAACTGTGGTCAAAAATGATTTCAATATATTGCGCTTTATAAATCTATTGGCACTTCCCGTGTTAAATACCCTGACAAGACCCATTTTAGCCAAGCTGCTTTAAATTAGCACATTTAGAACCAACCAAAATTGTGAAATTTATTTGGACTACTTTCTGATCTTGCAGTTCCATTCAGTGTCAGGAAAACGGCGAAGAACCCGACTACGGACTAATCCTGGCCTAAGAAAGTCTGCCCATAAGTGACCTAATTCTATTGAATTGTATAAAAACTAAAGCATATCATTGATTTTACTTGGCAAAGCATTTTAAATGCGAAATTAAGTTAAACTTTATTCAGTTTTCGTTGACAATTTGAATAAGGAACCATAAATTAAACACTTGGATTGCCTTTGAAATAAGAATGGCATTTCATAATTAAATTAAATTATTTATAAATAATTTAATTTCATTTCAAAACCTAGCCAGTTGGAGATTATTTTATATTAGCTTGTAATATTTAGGCAAATTCGAATTGGAGTCTAAATTTCACTCAAACTGCTTATTGGCCAATTTAATTGCTTAGTTTTTTTTGGCTCTTTGGTTTGGGTTTATTTAGGAGTTTTGTTCGATTGCGTGCAATCGACATTTGGCATGGTTAAACAAGACTATCAATGCCCGCATTCAGTTCATTTTGCAGTTAATTACGCAACTCATCAATTAAGCTGGCGAAACACAGCCCTTTTGGCAGGACGAGACGCACCGCCAGAGAGAGAGAGAGAGAGAGAGAGAGAAATGGAGCGAGGGAGGGAGGGGAGCAGGAGAGCAGCTTAGAGAAGTAACGAGTACATTAAAAATGTACAAATTGCGCGTCTTAACAATTATTGCTAGCCATAAGGCGCCATCGCTTGCCCAGCAATTATGGCCCTTTTAGATAGGGGAGTTGGGGTTGGGCTAGGGATAGGGGTAGGTGGTGGCGGAGGGGCTTGTAGAGGAGAGCCAGGTCAAGACAATGGGCCATTAGCAGCGCGCTTTAATTATTTAGTTTTTCTTTCTCCATCTTTGTTTTGCAACAAAGTGCTCTGTCTGTGTGTGTGTGTGTGTGTGTGTGTGTGTATGTATTTATGTGTGTGTGTGTGTATATAGAAAAGCAGCTTTGAAAGCCTGGCGAAAATGAAAACGAACTTTGCTTTGCTTACATTTTCGTTTTTCTCATTTTATTTTTGTTGTTGTCCTGTTTGGTATAGAGAAAATTTGTTCGCCGTTTCGCTTTTGCGCAAGTCAGGGTCAACAACTGCCCCTATATAAAAGTAGATGCAGGACGCTATTGTTGTTGTTGTTGTTGTTGTAGTGTCTGCCGAGCAACCCCCTAGTGGGCAATTCAATGTGTATACAACACAACACAGAGAGTCTGGCATACACAATTGTATATATCTAAATGTATCTAAACTTTTGGCTATCATTTTTATACAGCCGCCTGTCAATTAATCGCATTGAGTGCTTAAGTTTTTCGAAATCCCACAAGCCGACAATGCATGTACACGTTCCCCCCTCCCATACATCTATCTAACTATCTCCACTCCCCTCTACACACACACTAATTGTAAATTAAATGATCCTGATAATATCCGAAAAACATCTAGACAAACAAATAAAGCCAAAACGTAAACAAACTTTGACCTGTGCAGCGACGTTTTGTCAACCTCCCCACCAGAACACACATTAAATAGACATATCTATATATATATATGTATACATATATACAGTTTATATATAGTTGACAGGACACTGGGCACTCACGGGGGCACACGGCGCAACGGTTCTGGTCCATTAACCCGTCGTCGTCCTGCTTTTTTTTCTGGGCAAAGAAGGAAACGCAACGCGTGGCGTTCTATATATCGAAGTGGTTGGCTGGCTTTGGGCCTCTTCTAATCAAAGGAAATTTAGGATCGTATATTGACTTAGCACAATGCAGCACGTGTCACGTGTCGGCCAAAGACTTGAACTGGTCGAGACTGTTTGTCATTGCAATTAACGCCCAACTGCGTTTTGACCGCTAATTGTCAAAATATTTACTCGAGTCCTTTTGTTCATTTTTGTTTGGCACAGGATGAGCCCAGCCCAAGACTGACCTCCCCACACACACCCACACACACACGTGAGTCACAAAAAGGGTCCCTCCAGTTGCTGTCCTTTTTTCTGCATTTAGTTGCTCTTTCAATTTTCGCTACAATTTTTGCACTTAAACTTAATTAACGCTGTGTGCGGGCATTTCATCTTTACCCCCTCCTTGAGCAATTAAATTTATGTCGTTAAACAAAGCGAAATGCCAATGAACCAAGCCGATAATAAAGCCATCAAAGCGAACCAAGTTCGTTCTCCTTTTATTGCATTGTTTTAATTAATTTAAATTAGACGCACAAAGAAATATTTATGCCAAAAAAACGTAATCGCATAAAGATGAAGAATGAAGAATGAAAACAACCCTGCCATAAAGAGGAATTTGTTTATGTGTATTTGCTTAAGTGTGTGTGTGTGTGTGTGTGTGTACATATGTTTACTTGCTTCGATTTACCTGGCCCAAAAATGTTACCATTTGCCCATTTCCTATTCGCTGTGGACTCACCTTTAATTCATTTGCCAGGCGCGCGAGCATAAAAAAATAAAGCAAAAACCCAACAAAAACCAAAACAAAAAAAACTAAAAACGAGAAGAGCAACATTTAGAGAAACTAAGTCGGGTAATACGAAGAATATATACTCTACAAAATTAAGAAATTGTTCTAGCAAAATAGTGATTGATAATGGAGGCTATTAAATAAGAAACATTCCATTGAAATCAAACAAATTTAATATAATGCAACGATATTTATTATAATTAAAATATGTTTCTCTGCTGGCTTCAAGTCAAACATATTTTAGTTATAAAAAAGAGATCCCCAAAACAATAAATACTTCATTTATGCTGATTTCATCTGGCGCTAAAAATATCTTCCACTCAAAGGTTTTTCTATTTTCAGCCAAACTAAACTATAATTTATATCGCATATTACCAAAAGAAGAGTCTAAACTTAAAATGGCTCTTAGCCCAGAAGAGTATCAAATGAGAAGAAGACAAGCTGAAATGTGTGTGTTCTTTTGTTTTTCGACAGCACAACTTTAATCCGTCAACAGCACTAATTTCGCCACGTGCGTGTATTTATTATTATGTATATATATATATATATATGTGTGTGTGTGTGTGTGTGTGTTTATTTGTATATCCCTGAGCTGGGCCCAATACTGGGGAGCAGATAGACGGAGCAGCAGGGCACCCCGTTGCGTCGTTGAAATTAGTTTTGAATCATTTATGAGTCATGGTTTAGGGTCTGCCACCATTCAGTGGCAGTTACAATGTGGCAGCAGCATAATCGATTTAATAGGCCGGAATGTAATGTGCCGTATGGCAAACGGCAACCAGAACAAGAAGCAGAAGTAGAAGAAGGCGCAACCCAAACGCTCCTGAGAGGCCAACCATATGGGATGAGTATGGAATGGGTAAAATAATAAACTGCCCTTTGCTGCCCGATTTAAAAAAAAAAAAAATAGAAACAACCACCCGCTTGAGTCGCTGGTTAATTTTGAAATATATATGTATATACATATACATATACATATATAGCTTGTAATCGGTACTCACCTTGAAAATAACTTTTGGTTCTTAAATAACTAACGGACAGCCTTAGTATGCTCAGTCGATCCAGTTTGCTAAGTATGTTCTGCTCGAAGGGCAGCAGGGAGGCAAGCAGATCCAGTTCGGCATTGAGGCGCTCCCGATGCCGTTTTGATGGATTGCTCTTAGTGACGCCATCCTTGGGCGGCGGCTTCAGGCTGCAAATAAAAACGAAAACAAATTTCATACATTAAACGGCAAGTCAAGCAGCTGACGTCGACGTCAACTTGAAAACAACAAGCAACAGCAACAACAAAAGGTCAAAATTATTAATTGCAGTTATCAGTTACCCCAGAATAATAGGGCCAAGTTAAGCAGCAACCAGAGGTAAACCACCCTCGCAGCAGCAGCAGCAGCAATGGTAGGGGTTCTTTTTCGGCCAGTTGATCTGTTAATTACCAAATGTGGCAAACGAAACGAAAGTGGGCCTAAAGCCGCAGCAGAAATGCAGAAACACAGGAAATACGTTGTTGAAATATTTCCGCGAATCAAATCATAAAGTCCACTACAAATTAGAACAGCAATCTGTATGTCCAATTAACTGTCATAAAAAGCGGCAGAGAGAGAGAGAGAGATAGGGATAGGGATGGAGAGAGGGAGGGAGCAAGAGAGAGAATGAATCCAACCAAAAGTCATTGTAAATCTAAATGTTGCTTGTGGCATGTGGTATGTGGCATGTGATATGATAGCTAGCTGGCGCCCAAGCTCAGTTGTTGTTGTTGCAGTTGCTGTTGCTGCCAATAATAAAACTCATAAATGCAGAAAGTGCTCGAGTCGAGTCTTTTATATGATAGCCCAACGCTCGTCTCCTTCCCGCTTCTGGCTCCTGGTGGCTTAGCGCTTAATTCCGCATTATCTTGGCCGTAAGCGTCTAAAGTCAAGCGATTTGCACATTCTGCTGAGGATTTACTTAGCTGGCGAAGCATTCAGTATGCTTTATCTTTTACAAAATTCCCTGCTTGCTTTTTGTTTTATTTTTTGTATTTTTCTGTTGATTTTTTTTTGTTGTGTTTCATTTTTAATCATATTTCGTCTCATCATTTTCATTGACATTATTACAAAGTTAATTGCGGTTATTAAATATAATTACTGTTGTAATTTATGAGCGACCCCTTTCAGGGCCATCGGACCACCGCCTCCCCTCAAGCCCACACTCTTTGAAAATTTGTCGTTTTTTTTATATTATTTTTTTTTGTGTATATATCGTAAGTACATTGAACATTTTCATTGTTTAACGCTGTTGTGTCGAGTTTTTTTTCAAAACTTTTTGCTTCGCTGCACAATCACATACACACACACACACACACAGACGTTGTTAAGCTGAGTATGCTGGCAAGTGGCATACAGGACACACAGTCACAGGACATTGTCGCGTTTGCACGTGAAAAGTTGAAACGTATTTAAGTTAATTGCCCGACATTTTTTTGCTGCTACCAACAGTTTGGCACCCGTTTTTTTGTTTGAGCTGCTTTGCCACGTAATTGTCAGTGGCATGTCCGTTCGATGTCACTGCCAGCAGGACATGTGCCTCAAATTGTTAACGGACCAACAGCCAAATCCCCAGCTGCAACTCCCAGCTCGGGCTGATGTGCTTGGGAATGCAATACTGTCGCCAAAGATAACATATAGCGCAATAATAATGATATTAACCACGATGATGATTCATGCTGAATTAGACATTGGAATGCTAAATATCTGCGAAATGCCAGAAATGTCAAGTCTCAGTTGAAGATTTAAGATTCAAGAATGTGTCGCCAGGCAATGTTATCAGAAACGCTTATGGAAATTGTGATAATGATACAGTTATTTACAGTTAACCATTGGAATGCAAAACTCTCGATATAAATCCAAAAATAAACGTTAATTTATTTCATTAAATGCGAAAATGCCGAGTCGCAGTCAGAAACCTTTAAGCCAATTACGAAGGCCAAAATAAAAACGTTGAATTTAGAAAATTATTAGTGTCTGGGACGAAAGCGAAAGCGAAGACACAGCCGAAACCGAGGATAAACGACAAATTGCTAAAGGAGTGGGTGATTATATAAATAAAAAAAATAATATGAAAAAAAAGTGAATCCTATATAGTATGGGTATATATCAGGGATGATGATGATGAAACCGTTAGACGCATTGGAATGCAATTTGAATTGGAAGACTATTTTCAAGTCAAGGCTGCAAATTATGAGCTGAAAAGGGAATGCAGAGAGAAACAGAGAATATCCCTCTACATATATATGTATATATAATGGTAAATAACTTAACATCTAATTAAGGACTACTCCAAAATTGGGGGCATTGCAGCGTTTGCTGCCTGCAACGTTGCCGTTGAATAAAATGTATAATTTTCTTATTATCTATAAGAAGTCGGCAACGGGACTGCAAACTGACTACGACTACAAAGAGCACAACCCAGAGCCACAGACAGCCACAAATGTTCTGGAAAAGAGTCGAGGGCATGTAACAAAATGAGTTCCATAAACAACTTTCCCAAAAAAAAAAAAGCAGAAAAATGGAAAAAAGTTGAGAAAAAAGAAAAGAACCGAAAAAAACGTTGCTTTTGTCTGCTGGGTTTTGTGTTTGGATTGGAGTTTTTTCCAGCAAGGAGTGTAGAGGGGGAGGGTGGGAGGGGTTTAGTCCATAAAACGTCGCTGCTAAAAATGGCGTAGAATCCTAGCGAACAAAGGATAACTGCATAGCTCAACTCTGTCTGTGTGTGTGTGTTGGCCACATTTCTTGCAAAACTTTTAGCTACAGCGCCAAACCTCGCCTAAAACCAAACCAAGCCAAACTCCTCAGACATCCCCGCACCCCACCACCTGCCGCACAACTTCCCACTCCTGCAGTCCATTTTTATTTAGCTTGGCTCATTTCATTCCATTTTCTTCTGCATTATTTTTGCCCATTTCGTTTGGCTGCTTTTCTTCTTTTTCGCCAGCTCTCATTTGGCCCTCATGTATATTTTCCTTTCTCTCTCTTGCTTGTTTTGTTCTGTTTTTCTTGTTTTTTGTTTTTTTTTTTTTGTTTTGTTATTCCCATTATGAAATGAATTGCTTTTAAAGAAATTACAATGCGGCAGCCAGCGGTGAAATTGCCCCAAGGGCTGCCATTTGGATTTCGATTTGGAAATAAAAAAGAAGCACAAGGAAAACTAAAATGTTACACTGCAAATGTATTTTAGTGGCAACAACTACTGCCACTAGTTGGACTCATAAGCGACGCTCAAAACCATCCGAGATGCAATTGCAGCAGCTGTTGCTAATATTGTTATTGTTGTTGTTGTTGTTGTTTTTGTTGTTGTTCTTGTTGTAGGTGTTGCTGTTTGATGGGTGTCAAGGGTCGACAGCAGTGGGGCTTTGGGTTAGCAGCCGGCGTTTTTGTTATGTTGTTGTTGCTCAGGTGTTTATAAACAAATGACACGCAATCCTTTAGGGGTTGGGAGGTGCTGTGTGTGTGTGTGTGTGTATGCTTTGTGTGTGTGTGTGTGTGTGTGTGTGTATGCTTTGTGTGTGTGTGTGTGTGTGTGTGTGCCGGCACGTGAGTTCAACTCGTTTCAGTTATTTGCATGAGCAGGCATTACGCATACGCAGCGTTGTCGTTGTCGTTGATCTCTTTTTTTTGTTTTGCATGCTCAATTTGGCGCCAAAAATCTCAACATACCTCAAACACACACAAACACACACGCAACATGCTAATTCATTCATAGCATATGGCAAATGTTTCACTCTCTTTTCCACTTGACTAGCCATCTCTCTATGCGTGTGCCACAATGTGCTGCGTGCCCCAACAAAAAACTGCAGCCAGCCAGAAGCAGAAGCAGCAGCAGCAGCAACGGCGTCGGCTGTTGTCGCTTCTGGCAGCTAAAAACGCAAAATAGCGTGTCTTATGTCCGAATAAAAAAACCCAAAAACAAAAAAAATACAAATACAAATACAACAACTACTGAGCAGCGTAGGCGTCGACGCAACAATTACAACAACAAGAGCAGCAACAAGCAACACAAACAGCAACAACAACAATGCGGCCACTTTTACTGCATGGCACAATTTTTGCAAACTAATTTAATTTTGCATGTTAGTTTTGCCGTTGTTGTTGTTGCTGTTGTTGCTGTTATTTGTTGCGTTGGTTGCTGTGTGCTGCTTACGCTTTTCAAGTGCATGTTGCTTCATTATTACAACAGCCTTGCAAAGGGCATTGGCAACTTTAGCGTCTGAGGCAACATGCCAATTGAAGCAGCTTTGCTTATAGATCTATTCAGTGCAACACCATTTAATATACAGGAATAAAATTAAATTACATTTAAAAGTTGCTTAGCTAAGCAATTAAGAGAAACCAATTTCATAATTTTAATATACAATTAAACAATAGCAAGTCTCGAAAACTAAATATGATTACCATAGATCATCATCCAATAATAAGAAAATATTATTTTCTTTGGATTTGAATATATTATAAAATACCTAATGAAATGGAAATTGTTTTTTCTGCTGTTTATTTTTTAGCTGTTATTTTTCGAGTACTCCTTCAGTCTGTTAACATTCAAATAGACTTTATCATCTAATCACCTCAGAGTCCTCTATGTCCATCAAGAAGTCACTTTTAAACTAATTTTAAATTGTTTCGTGAATAACATTTTCGTGGTTGACCATATTTACTAATTCACGCTAACCAGCTTCTTCTTTTTTTTTTTTGGTCTAATTGATTCCGCAAATGTTGGACTAATTTTTCAATTAAATAAATATTACATTTTATTTCTAATTGAATTTATTTTATACTTTATGTATTTCACTGTAACGACTGATATAAGTCGACTGTAAATAAATATAAATATAACGAAATATTCGTTTAATTATTTTATCTTTCTTTAGTTATTATAAAAACCGATAGAAAACTAATAGTTTATGAAATGTATACTTATAACGCACTTATTGCTTTCGCTATATACTTAAATAAATGTATTTTTTCGGTAACCAAATAAATATGATAAGAAAAACGTATATAGTCGAATTCACTTTAAAAAAACGTATCTCAAGATTGGCAAATTTTTTGTAGATCGCCAGGCAATCGATATTGATATCGGAATGTGTAACATCTTGGCAGAGATACCGCTAATAAAGTTGTGGCTATTTAACATATTGTGACAGTTGTCATTGTCGTATTG